TAGAATACCCTGTGAATGAACACCTCTGCACACACACAATCTTACTAGATAATAATAAACAAGTTAAAGTTTAAGAGAGAAAGCTTTCTGATGGCTGTGTGTGCTGTATTTCTAGCTGACAGCAGTGACAGTATATCAGTTGTGTACTGGTGACAGGAAGGCTAGAGCCTTCCCTAGATCTGCTTGCTGCTCTGTATCTTCTATCTTTTGCTTCAGGGTTTGTTTCACCTGATCATATTTCATCTTAAGAACTAAGGAGAGAGAGAGTAGCCTAGATTTAAAATATTAGATTCAACAGCTTATAGAAGCTAGACACACTCTTGACTCAACTTCTATCATACCTGTCTCCAATCACAGTAGATGTGCCTTTGGAACACAGTGAGGTATCTGGCTAGCTGCTCTGATGAATTTAGATTGTACCCTCTCCAAGAAAGTGAAACAAGAAGCTAGAGGCCCAGCCTGAGTTCCATAGAGGAGATGGGCTAGTGGAATAGCCTGAGCTTAAGTGCAGCTGGAACATAATATCCTCCCTTGGTGCAGAAAAAATTGAGGATGGCACTGGCAGATCTTTGTTCAGTGGCAACAGCATATTCATAATGGGCTTCATCAAGCCAGTGGCATGCATGACTACTCCTAAATACTGAAAAGCAAGTCACTTATTGAAATATAATTATTTATTATATCTTTGATGACAGTCACATCTTGGCTGCAGAAATTCAGTTGACTAATAAGTGGTAATGAAGTATTACAGTTTTCTGTGTCTTTGTGTTGCCATCTAATTGATATATGGATTTTTTCAGCCTAGGTATGGTAGCCCTTATTCTCTCTTTCTCTTTTTCTTTCTCTTTCTTTCTTTCCTTCTTTCTTTCTTTCTTTCTTTTTCCTTTCTTCCTTCCTTACATTTTATCCTATTTTTTTTCTGGAAGCATCTCTTGTTATGATCCTTACACTAATTATGTGATTTATGTTCAGCTGAGATATAAGTGCCTAGTTCCATGATCCCATGGGACCTTGTCTGTCTATGCTTGCTCCTGCTTTACTGCAGAACTTTTGTGAATTGTAGCTCTATATTTTTAAGCTATTTATATATCTTGTTCTCTAACAGTAGCCATAATAATGTATATATAACTTGCTTCAATTGACAAGAAAACCTCTGATTGTAAGAATGAAGGAATTCAGTTAGTATTTCCAGCTTCACCATCTACCTCTGGGGAAAAAAATATACATTCATTCAACTAGTTGTTATACAGTATCTATTTTTGTGTGGGGGGGTGTTTTTTCTTTGTGACTATAATTGGTACCCAGATGAGATGAAATTACTTTTAGATTCTCTTTTTAATAGCATGTTAATAATTCACACAGATACTGGAAATGAATTAATTCAAAGCTAAATATAATTTGCCATGAGCTATATGGCATTAAATGTCTCCGCACTCCGTCCTGTTTCCCAGAACATGTCAAATATTGGAGAATAGAGAATTTCTCAGCTTGCAGAAACCTGAATCTATTATTTAAACGGTTTTTTCCTGGGAACATATTCAAAATATTGTAATTAAAAATGGTCCTTGTTTACTTAGAAACAAGATAAATAAACAATACAGTAGAAAGTTTACTTTTTAATTGTCCTGCAGTGCACACGATCATTTTAGCTAAAATGTAGCATTCATTCCTTTTCATTTTCTCTTGCATTGTTACATTGGCTTACAATCATAAATGCAGTGATGTGGCTTATTTCACCTACCTTTTTTCTGTATCACAAAACATCCTTGTTCATTTAGAAGTGGTAGAATAATGCTGTATCTCTTGAAGGATCATAACCTGGAGGGAATTTAATCCACATTAGGTTTTAATCATATAGAAAGTGTTTATTTTTGAAAAGTGTGCTAGAAAAATACCTTAAATTAGGGACAAGAATGATTGGATAGATGAAGTCAAGTATCTTTATTGGTACATAGAATTATAGTGGTTATGAAAACCTGCAAAAGAGCCTCAAACAAAGATTACTGTCAGGCCACAGGAACCAAGAAAGACACATAAAGTTACTTCCAAGCAATTTCCTTTATCATTCCTCATTTATAGATAGAAACCCTACCAAACTAAAGCAACTTCTTGCACCATCAAATATATACTCTGAGAATTGCTAGGGTGGAGCCGTCTTAACTCGCTTTCTTTCCAACCAACTGCACTGTCACTTGGTCCTCTGGAATGCAGCCCCACCCTCCTAGGAATCCAGGCTACATTCCACCACAGTTCGGATTATATACATTTGATTAAAATCTATGTTAAAAAAGTGTTTAAAAATGTTAAAAAAATAAAAGCTCTACATATTGCAGTATATTCTTGGAGGCAATTTCACGGTTATTCTGATAATATATTGGGAGATGACTTCAGGTGGGGAAAATGGTGCCTTTTAATGGATATGGATTTGCAGCTTGTTTTGCCTCCTGCACAGCAGGGTAGCCTTCTTTTTCCTCCAGATTGAAGGAGGAAACCAGAAATTGACCCACCTGGCTTCTGGTTTGTCACTCCTCATGACTAAATTGCAGAAACAGAGGTTTCCTCGATTGGCTTGTGAGTTGAGCCATAGAGGGTGGGGATTTCCATCAAGTTCACAGTTGTAGCATAAAAACCCCAGAGTTTTGGGGTTTAATGAACAAATGCCTCTGACCCCTTCCATAGTTCAAACTAAGATAAAGTGAGATAGGAAGGAATACATTCAGATTGCAAGATTCTATCACAGTAAAAGTAACACTGGCGAATATGTCATTGATTTCTTAGTCTGGCCTACCTTATAGGGCCAAAGAAACCTATGCAAGATATCCCATGTGATCTATCCTTCAAAGTAGTGGAACTAGTGAGTCAAGTCTTTTCTAGGGTTTTCTGGCATGTATTTGCCTACATGGAAGATACTTCTACTAGAATATGGTTTAAATAAGTCTGATATTTATCCACAGAAGAAACTGTGCATTTTATATTTAGCACACATTTAAAAGGTTTCCAGTTTTCTATCTAAAGTTTGCATACAGAACCTGCTCCATCAGGTTGGTTTTTCCTTGAAATCTGCCTGCATGCCAGGTTATGCTACTCTTGAGCACCATCTTAATGAGGATGAAAAGGTTTCTTGATACTGGTTAAGATGTGTGCTTTTTTAGATCAATTGCACTATCAGCATCTTTGTAGAACACTATCATTTTTGCATTACTAAGGTTGTGGGTAGAATTTCAGACTCAGGAACAGTAAAGGTCGGGACAGTGTGGGCTGTGTTCTGATTTGATGTCAACTGTGGGCAAATAGCACTCTGTGTGTCTCCTCACTACAAACTACCCACTCGCACAAGCATGGCAGCAAATTACTCTTAGGAAAATGGTGAATTGCCTGCTTATAAGAAGATGTCAGTGCAGCTGGCAGCACTTTAGATTTCTCTGTTTTAGAGAGCCTGCATTTGGACCTAGTTTAATGTTAGTGTTTTCACAAATGAGTTGGCAGCATTTGTTTCATCCAGCAAAAAAGCTTTCTTTCAGTACTTCTCAGACCTCAAACAGCATACTAATTATTGTTGCCTATCCTGTATGCTGCACCCCAAGCAATCAACAAGTTGATTCCTGGGAGTGAAATATTTGCAGAGGTAGCATTCTTGTTCTTAAATAATGAAGCAGTTCTGGAAACTGGAAAAGAATGGAGAAAAAGATGGGGAATAATCTTCTGCCAGTATCTATTTGGCCATTGAAACCTGTTCCCATTCCCATTTACAAGTTAGTCCTCATTTAGAAGCTGCATTGTATAGTGTCAAGGAAAATCCATTAAAGGCAAGATTTTAACAATAACAGAATCAGACACAAATACATCTTTCCATAACATGTGTCATTGTTCCACTGCAAAATCAATTCCTCAGTTTCCACAAATTCACTTCCCCAATTACCAGGCATTCAAGTTTGTCATATTATGAAAGAGGCCATAGCTCAAACTTTGGCTTAATACTTCCAACAGGCCTAGGCCTTCATTTTTCAATAAGTCCTTTAATACTGAGATCTGTCGAGGTGTTTAAATCAGATAAACAAATAGTGATAGATTTTTTTCCTTTCACAGTAGTGACCATTCACAAATATAATGCTAATAAGTAGTAATAAAATTATTTTCCAACCTCTACAGCAGTTAGGACAATAAAAGCCTTCAGTATGAAAGGTCTGGTCAGTTTCAGGCAGGCAGCTGCCAGCTGACCAGAAGGTTCTAATCAATTAAGGCAGGGATCTGAACTTGTTAACTTGCAGTGGCATTTTTAGGGACTACTAAGCTCTGAACAAAAATTAATGCAGGAAGAGATAATTTGCTTGCGCAAACTCTCTGCCCTTTGAGGAGGCAAAAAAGAAAAAAGTAAAACAGTTGAGCTGCATATTTGCAAGAACTACAGAGCTGTTATTTCAGATCATTTGTCCTTGCTCATTTGCTAATAATAATAATAATAAATAATAATAATACTCTTCCCCCCCCCAAGAAATACCAATACTTTAACAGTGAAATATTAGGAGATATGGTAGATAGGATAAGTTCAGGGAATTTTTGAAAGAAAGCTCCAGTGAAATTAGTGTGCACAGCCTTCCACAAAAATGATTCTCCCTTACTCTCATTCCTATTAACACTGGTAATATTAATTACATTTTATTCAAAAAATGACCAATTGTACAGTACAGTACCTCTACATATGCTGGTGGACACAGTCAAGTGACTTGTTTTGGGCTAAAGGAATTGTTTAAGAATTCTACATATAAGAGTGAATTTAAATACTAAACATACCTGCCCCTGCTTAGGTTTTGTTTTGTTTTTTAAGAAAGAAATACGAGATAACACAGTGTTGTCATCTGAATTATATTAAACCAAGAAAGTCACTGATTGTGAAATTTGTTCTTGTTTGTCTCATTCCAGTGAAGATTTAGAAAAAATGAGGCATATATGAATTTTAATACAGTAGTAGCTTACTAATTCTTCTTTCTTTTTTTTTATAGTAATTCCAAACATATCAGTATACTTCAGCAGTAAAGGTGCCACTTTGTCTTCTTGGAGGAAACTGAGGACATAGAATCTTAGCCAAATATTCAACATGATAACTCAAAGGTATCTCCTAACCTACATGGTCGTGGTGCTCACTTCATATCTTCATAACCTCATCAGAGCCATTGAAGTCCCACGGGATCGTAAGTTCGCTGTTTTATATTTTATCAATTCATTTTCATCAAGTTTCTCAGGCATGTTATCATGAATAACCCAGCAAGGAAGAGCAGTGATCTTCAGAAGAGTTGAAATCATAATCATCTACCATTTGGTAAGCAGTCACTAGGGTTTCAGTATAAATAAACCCAATCATAGATTTATAAAGATAATTTACGGATATTCTTAGTATACTAGTGTGCCATTGCCTTGATTTCTTTCTTCCTCAAAGTGTAGTATAGTTCAAGGTCTAGTGTTAATTACCTCAAATAAAATAAATTGGAAGATTTAAAAATCATATCAAGGCATTCTGATTAAAAGCAATTCAGAGTTTCATGGAATCCATACATCACTGGACCAGTCTTAGTTCTGATCTAACTCACCACATATAATGAAGCATACTCTTACTTTGTTTTTTATTGTTCAGGATGAAGGTGATCAGCAGGTATGAGTATTCAAAACAATTCAGTTCCATGTTCAGAATTATATCTAACAGGACTTTGAGGTATACCTTCTTTTGAGATATACCTTCTTTTAGAAAGCTTCCCCTTCAGATGCCAACATAGTCTTGAATACTATCAGAAAGCCTACTACATATTTCTACTCTGAACTGGAGGATGATGGTAAAGCTTATCCTTTAGCTAGGGGGTCCTGGAAATTAGGGTTAGCATCAGAATCATCTGCTGTATTCTGAAAGGTACAAGTGCTGAAGTTCTGAAGAAACTTCAACCACAAATATACTGTCTGAGGTATGTTAAATTGACACCATCCATGCATGCTGAAGTTGAGATTTGCATTAAAAACTGTATTATTTCATTAGACTTGTATTGACATGATAAAGTATGGAAGCTAATTCATATATATGGACATTGATTGAAAATAGATGGGAATGCATTTTGAGTTTCTGCATAATCTAATCTCCATCTTTTGGATGTGTAAACCAACTCCCAGAATTCTCAGTAATGGCTATGCTGGCTGAGAAATTCTTGGAACTGAAATTCTCACATCTGTGGGGCATCAAGATTAGGAAATGCTAATATAACATGATTGCTCCATTCCATTTCCTGTTTCAATATACCATTGTTTGTGAGGGTTGAAGTATTTAATGATCAACACACTGTGCCAAAAATGGTTCTGACTGAGTGATGATCTGTGAGGTAAATCAAATCTAGGTTATATAAAACTAGGCCTTTTATATAAAGCAGGTTGTTGCAAGTAGGTTCTAAACAAGCCTTTCTTTGCCATAATTATTGAATCCAAAATGAGAGAAAGCAATACTATCAGGTTTTTCTGATTAAGATTTTATTTGGAACTGTTTTTTGTTCTAATCTTGACACCTAGTTCAGATTTAGAAAGAATATTCAGAATATTTTTCAAGTTTCCTCAGTATTGTCTTTTCAACATATTTTTCATTTTCCTGAAATTTGAGGTAACTCCTAGAGTCATAATCCACTGTATTTGACTAGAAAAATCTGGGAAATAACAATCTTATCAATTGCCTTGGAATATTAATTTATGAAATAATTTTAATTACAAATCTAATAACACCTATCAGAATAATATTTGATTCATCTAAAATAAACTACACTCTGTTGGGATTAGAATGATAATTATGGGATATGCCTCTCCTTTTCTTCCTCACTTCTATCTTTTTTGTGTGATGGCACAATTTGGAAATAAACCTCTGTTTGATTATCAATGACAGACACTCGCAGATTCAGAACAATTTGGAAATAAACCTCTGTTTGGTTATCAATGACAGACACTCGCAGATTCAGAACTTTATTATACACATTAGAAAACTACAACTTTACATTACTTTTTGACATGATAGCCATACAAATTGAGGCACTTGTCATAACATCTTACAAGGTTTGAAATCCTTAGTAATAGTCGCTTGGCATCAAATCTGGGCTATTGGGGGGGGTGATCAAAAACATCCCAACAGAACTGCTTCAAACGTTCTTTGGTGTGTCTAGCGGTGTGCAGGTGAGCATTATCATGAACCAACACTACACCGAAAGTCAGCATGTCCCAACGCTTGCTGGGGATGGCTCGTCTGAGTTTTTGTAACGTTTCACAGTAGACTTCTGAATTGATGATCAAATTACACACCATGAACTTCACTAGCAGAACTCCTTTGGCATCTTCACATTTGGTGGGATTTTCTATGGCACCACTTCAGGTGTGGTATTGGTTCACGATAATGCTTGTCCGCACACCGCTAGATGCACCCAAGGACTTTTGAAGCAGTTCTGTTGGGATGTTTTTGATCACCCCATTGCAGCCTTAGATCTAATTCTGGTCAGATGCATTGGACAATGTGGACATATAAAATATTGCCATTCCCATGGACTAATTTCATGATATCAGCCATTGATAATGTACATTATAGAGTGCAAGTTCCCCATGATTCCATTTCATGCAGACCTTAACCACGTTTCAGGCAATGAGGGAGGTATTGAAAAGATGGAGAAGGAAATGGCAAATACAGAGGAAAAAATAGTAAACTGCAAGAGTGAAGTAAAATATTGTGAAATCAGAGAGATGGGAATGATATCCTCAGACTCTATTGGTTTTAGTCCCAGCCATTTTTCTCTCTAGACCTAAATATGCAAGGATGTATACATTACATATATTTATTTATTTATACTGATTTATATGGCTTCCCATCTCAATAATGTGGCTCTGGGTGGCTAAAACAATTAAAGTACAATATAAATGTATGCTGTATAAAAAAAGTAAAAGCTGCCTTTTACAACTGTCAAAACACCATTCAGCAATAGTGGGGGATCAGTTACTCCCCTGACCCTTGCCCCTGAGAAAACAGCCAGGTCTTCAAGGCTCTTCTGCAAAATGTGCAGTATGATGTCTAGAGGGCAGGCACAGTTGTAGAAAAGAACGCTTCCTTGGTCCTACCACATGATAATTCCTAATAAATGGAACCTGGCATGCCTCTCTTGCCCAACTTAATGGGCAGATATAAAAAATTAGAGTGACCCAGTTCCTCACAAACACTGGCATCTCTGAAAAAATATGATCCTCCACAAGAAAAATGCTTTCCTAGGCATGTATATAATTCTGATTTTATTTGTGAGAAAACACTGGATTTACTTTTATTGGTTTTACTTAAAGATTAAGTATTTTCTGTTCTTTGTGCTGCCAACCTGTAGGAAGCTTGTTGCTAAATTACTAATCACTAAAAGTCTACTGAATTAAAAGTTGTTTAATCCATAGAGTCTATATAGGAGACTCTCTGTGATGATCAAGAAAGGTTTGTTGATATTTTTTCTTCTTCTTTTGAGTGGAAATTGTCATTAAGGAACATATAAAGTTCAGGAGAAAAATAACACTACTTTGTTATTGAAAAAACAAATCCAAAATTACTTATGACTTGTTTCTCATCAATTGTGTCTTTCTTCAGGATTCCATATTTATTGAAGAGAGAGGAAGGATGCCTATTTTAATTCATAACATTGTCTTTTTCATTATTTCAGTTGTCTATTTTAAGTATAATTTACTTTCATTTGGAACTTTTCTAATATGTAGGAGATACTTTTTATATAAAAAAATGGTATCTTCTAATGGAATAAGTAAGACTCATTAGAATCTGATCCCAGATTGAGAAAAGCTAAGTAACATAGAAGTCATTATTGTTTGCATTATTTTTATATACATTCCAAATATGCCATGGGCATCCCCTTCATCATAAAGCCATCATAAGGACACCAACTAAGATGATCCAAGGCCTGGAAACTAAAACATATGAAGAACGGCTGCAGGATTTGGGTTTGGCAAGTCTAAAGAAAAGAAGAAATAGGGGAGACATGATAGCAGTATTCCAGTTTTTGAGAGGCTGCCACAAAGAAGAGGGGATCAAATTATTCTCCAAAGCACCAGAGGGCAGAACAAGAAACAATGGTTGGAAACTGCTCAAAGAGAGAAGCAACCTGGAATTAAGGAGAAAGTTCCTGACAGTAAGGACAATTAACCAGTGGAACAGCTTGCCTTCAGAAATCGTGGGCACTCCATCACTGGAGGTTTTTAAGAAGAGACTGGACAGTCGCTTGTTTGAGATGGTATAAGTTCTCCTGCTTGAGTGGTGGGCTGGACTAGAAGACCTCCAAGGTTTCTTCCAGCTCTATTCTATTTATTAATCAATTTTATTTCATATTGACTTTCTGATTCTATTAATATAAATATCTAACACATTTTTTAAAAAAGACAATCCCTCATAAATTGACATAAATCAAGTTTTTAATAAGCTCCTGCCCACGTTCATAATTCTCTTTTTTTTTCAGATTTTTACTGTTCATTGAATTTGTTCAGGATTTTGTTCCAGAGCTTAACTGTCGGGCAACATGTAATTCCCTTAAAAGTATCATTTTCATTTATCCAGAGTCTTCATGAGGCAGAGATGTTTTGTTTAGAGCTGCATGTTTTATGCTTGTGATGGATAGTGTCATCAGCAATCATTTCCCAAGAATAGGTATAGCAGTAGTCTTCAATTCACAATCCTTCATTTAATGACTGTTCAAAGTTATGACAATGCTGAAAAAATGTTTAGTGTTGGATTTTATAATTAAATATAATCTGGCAAATAATTAAATATTTTACCATTAACTCATTTATTATGCCAGCTGTGAAGATAGACTGAATTAGCCTCCCAGGAGGGAGGGAAGTTTATGCTAGTCTCTTTATCCCCTATATGTATAAAAGTCTTCAGACTATTTCTGGAGGTTCCTGGCAGTTCATGATAAGTTCTCCAAACAATCCTAAATCTGCACTGCACGTTAGACACATTTGTTAAACATTGAAAGTTATTTTATCATTTTGGCACATAAGACAATAGCCAACCAATTATGTGGTAGAATAATAGCATAGCAGAAAAGTACTTGGATTAGGTTTAAAGTGACCAAGATATAAAGTATACAATATTCACTGTGTTATCTATATTATAAATGTAAGCACTTCCAGCAGTTAAAAATACAGTAAGACTAAATAATAATAAAACTGTTACATTTAAAGAAAAATCAGATTTATGGTTATAACTTTTAACACATATCATAATTTCATTTTAAAAGTAGAATTTGCAGTTTGAGCATTGGAAGCTTTTAATGAATGTTGTACCGAGCATTTTTATTTAATTATTGCATTACTTTTCTTCCTTTTTTCCTCATACTTGACATATATGGGAATCTTACGTATCTCATTATTATAGCCATTTAGACCAGGGGTTCTCAACCTTGGCAACTTTAAGACTTGTGGACTTCAACTCCCAGAATTCTGGGAGTTGAAGTCCACAAGTCATAAAGTTGCCAACGTTGAGAACCCCTGATTTAGACAAAAAGATGGCTATATTCAATTCATCTGTATCCAGGGCTTTATCATCTTTGGTCTTGGATAGGTTGCGCTGCCCTAGACAGCATGGTACAATCTAGAGGTCCTCCTAGATTCTTGCTTGAGGAGCAGGTGGCAGTCATAAATAGGAGGCCCTTTGCTCAACTTTGTGTTGTGCACCAGTTAGGCCCTTTCCTGGATCAGGAGGCCTACTCTCAGTCACTCATGCCCTGGTTATCTCTTCCATGAACTATTGCAATGCGCTCTACACAGGAATATCTCTGAAGAGTACAGCTGGTGCAGAATTTTGGGTATCCCAAAGATGGCGCATATAACACCTTTGCTGTGTGGTTTTCATTAGATTCCAGTTTGCTTTTAGTAAATATTACCTTTAAAGCCCTACATCACATGGGCTTTAAGTTACCTGAGGAACCATCTTACCCCCATCATATTAACCTGTCCACCTGGTCAAGCAGGGAAGGTATGTTATGGGCCCTGTCAGTTAAAAAATTTCAATTGACATGGTTTGGGAAGAGAGCCTCCTGTACTATTGCCTCTGCGCTCTGGAATATTCTCTTCCCAGAGGTGAAGTAGGTTCCCACTTTCAGTGTGAAGACCTGACTCTACCAACTTGCATGGGGGTCCCAGAGTGGCATGCGATACTGGGGATTGTTAAGACCTTGAAGCCACCCCACCTTTTAACTTATTCTCTGTTTCTTACTTGGCTCCCATTTTACTGATGTATTTTTTATGGTTTTTATACTTTTAGCTGTAAATTGCCCAGGCCATTCTGAAAGTGAGAAGGGTGCCACCAAAACTTAATAAATAAATAAAAAAGTAAACATAAATAAATTGATGCATCACATATATTAAGGAAAAATTAGCTAATAAATTCTGAATTTAACCACTAGTCGTAAAGGCCTGAATCCTAAATAGTGACCAAAAATCACTTTGATTCAATGTCAAAATATACTTTTAGTGACTTTGCTGATGGGGGATGGGAGGACCTCTTCCCATATTTTTTCATCATTTCTCAGGGATGGTTGCTTTAGGGCAGATTGGTTTACAATCCCCCTTTTTAACCAATCCTCTTAGTTCAAGTTACCTCTCCCAAACAAGATTAAACAGGAAAAAATCATGATTTAAAATTGAGCAACCAGTCTTTGTTGATTTAAGATAAGATAAGATAACCTTTATTGTCATTTTTTTACTGTGGGCACAACAGCACACATCAAAAATGAAATTTAGTTGTCCGCTCTCAAAGTGAAACACATACATAACACACACCTAAACATACTATGAACAGCATATCTATAGACCCATACCCCTACAAATACGTAGCAAATAAATATTAAATACTGTCCATCTTGAATATATAACGGAAGGAGGAAGCTTGAGAGTTCACAAGGTTAATGCTATATGGTGACATGCTGTATTAGTGACATTTTGGCAGGCTTGCTAGAAAGTAGATATCCGTATGGAATGTATGCATGATATTTCATTAAAGTGACTGGATAAAAGTTATGACATAGCAACTACCTGAAAGCATTGTTTATAGTCACAGAACCTTAGGATACAGTGAAGCAGAAAGTGGTTATCCCAAATCAGTAGAAGGCATTAAGGAACATGGCAAACATCTGTTTTATCCAGCTGGACCCATTTTCAAAGATTTTCTTTCTTTTCTCACTTTGGTGACATCAGGCTCTACCATATGTTTTTCCTTCGTGCAAGCTGCCAGAGAATAGGATTTTTAATCTTCCTTTTATTTAACAGAGAAAGTGCTTGGTCTCTCTTACTCCTCTCATGTCCACCCATTGTTCATAGCAGAGACTTAGCTAATTAATTCATCTCCTTTTTGTAAGTTTGAAAGGCTCCAGGTTTTATAAATTGAGCAGGTGGTGCATAAATAGTCACAGCTGCTGTGGGTTTATGATAAGTGTGCAAATTGCTAACTCACCAGGCAAATGATCTCTTTTTCTCTGACCCCAGAAGCTTCCCTCCTTCACAGAGATTAGTGCTGCATACAGGTGTGGTGTATGGATATGATTTAAAGAATATTTCTACCATTGAAAGCAGGGTATCAGATCTGCATATTAAACTGTTGAATCAGAAAACTTGTTGATTTTAGAAAAGCATTTGTGATGTACCAAACCATATTTGAATTATGTTTGCATTCAAGTAAAAGAACTTTGGGAGAACAAGATATATATTACTTCAAATAAATTTTAAAAATGGGAAAATGGGTTGATGAATGGTATAAAACAGGGTATAAAACAGCTGGCTGGGGAATTCTGGGAGTTGAAGTCTACAAGTCTTCAAGTTACCAAGGTTTGGGATCCCTGGTATAAAAAACTGAATAAGTAGCCAGAAATAAGACTGATTTTTGCAAAATTAAGAATGGGGCAGGGAATTTGTGGAATCATTTTGACATAGATGTTAAGATAAAATCATCTTGAATGCATTTTCTGAACCAAAACATAAATTGAAACGGTTCTGAAATTTGGACTTTTTTTTTCAAATGATGTGATATAATCTTTGAAGAAATGTACGTAAACATTTTTGTACTAAAGAAATTTATTCAAGAAAGCATATAGTGGTGAAAAAGTAAAACTGTTTGGGGAAATAGTTCTAAAAGAATGTGTTTCACAGAGGGCTCAAGCAACTTATTTGCCACTGGTAAAAAGGTCTTTAGTCTCCGTGACATAGTCTCTGTGCCGGACTACTGTCCATGCCCTCTGTTGGAGTATTTCTCTAATGTAGAATGGCCTTCCATGGGTCTTTACCATCACTTTGCACTTTCTTGCATAAAGTCTTAAGAAATTAGCATTAACATAAGAGTTGTAAATCACTTGAATGCTGTTTATAATTGCATTTTTAAAACTACCCCCCAAAATATGAATAACTAAACAAGAAAGTGACATAGATTTTTAAGATGTTATTTTTCTGCACCTCTTAGCCACATAAAGGATTTTTACAGGAAAGTATAGGTTAATCTGTAAAATACTATACTTTAAGCATTTGTAAGGGTTTGCCCCATATATTACAATTTATGAGGATTAAAGAAATTATAATCCTATACGTTTAGGGGACACTATGTTAGAGAAGGCTACAGAAACACCTATGAGCTAGATTAGACTATGAATTAAATCTGTCCATTAAATAGTCTTCAGTAGACTTCTTGCTTCATATTTATATGTATTTATTTTGCTAATTGTGTCATTCCCCACCTTTTTTTAAAGTTTTCTCTAACTCTTCTTCACAGGAACTCCGGGCAATATATTTAAGCTAATAATATTAATATTCATTTAAATGGCATGTTTTGTTTACCCCTTTTGGTATTTAATATTAGATCTAAACGTTTAGATTAACCCTTCCTGTTTCTCTCTTCTCTCTTTTTATTGCTGTGCTTATACCTTCGAATTAACAGCAAGTATTCAAGATACATGTAAGTCTTGTTTTCTGACCAATTTTTCCCCTCCTGAAATAACATTCTCTGTATTTTAAGGAACCTGGGTATAGCAGCAATCTATATAGTAGTTAACAAGTCTGAAGTAGGTTCTGTATTAACTTGTTGGAATAAAACATTTGTCTTCAGCTAAAGCCCTCAAATATAAAGTGGATCATAGTAAATTAAAGGGGAAAATGTTTTATCCACATTTTTGTTCTTCAAAGTGATGTTTTTGTTAGTCCAAAATATAAAACATACTTATGTAAATATAATTACTGCTCTTTTCTTCTTTAAACTTTCCAAAACACAGGAGAGATGTGTTTAATAATTAGCTGGTTAGTTCACACTGCTTTTGTGAGCCACACCACGGGGGTGAGGGAAGAACCAACTAGACTACAGGTAAACTTTGTTAAAGTAGGTGGGAAGACAACAGAAATGCTTGAATAAGTAGTGTTTGAACGGTCACCTTCTTATAAGTCACCAAGAAAAGTCAAGGAAGAACAGCTTGTTTTTAAAATTACTTCTTTCACTATACAAGTAAGTAGTTTAAACAAAAATGGGACCAATTTGTGATCTGATCTACTGGATGGAGAAAAGTATTCAAAAGTTGTGCAGTTGTATGTGTTCTTTTTAATTTACAGATGGTTGTCGACTTGCGACCAGTTGCTTAGGAGATGGCCTCAAAAAAGCTACTTAGATTTTGGGCACTTGAAAATTGACCCACATTTATGATCATCTGCATCACCCAGAGGTCACCTAACCATGATTTATGGCATTTTTACTTCTGGTTTCAGCAAAAGAACAACCCATACCAAACAAAGAATTTGCTTAATGACTACTATGTTCACTTTACGACTGATGCATTCACTTAATGATTGCCACAAAAAAGTCATAAAATCAGGCACAGTCTTGCAGTGATCACTTAATGTCCATCTCAATGATCAAAATTGTGGGGTCAATTACAGCTGTAAGTTGAGAACTACATGTGCTTCTAGAGAAAAAAAGAACAGAAGATCAGCTATCCTGTTCTGGAATTAGGAAAATGAATATTTGAGGAGAGCAATATGTATGCTGCACACTTGACTTCCCCTTATAGAAGGAAAGGGTTTATAAGTAAAACCTCCTTTAAACAAGATAGATCCATATAGATTTTTTGGCAGCAATACAGAGATGGCTTGTCATACTTTGGGCTTTCCTAATGAGATTCTCTCCAAATACTGACCAGATTTGACACTGCTTTTTTTCAAATTAGCATTGCTTATTTTATAACATTTTAAAAATGTATATTCCATATTTCTTTCCATTTAATACAATTTATAGTAACTTAAAAACTAAATCAGAAGAATATAAACATTTAAATTAAACTTAAAGCAAAATTAAAACTGGAATCATTGAAAGTGTTTGAATTAACACTTAATAACAATAAAAGAGATGGATATTTACCATTTTCCTAAGTACTGATAACATGAAGAACAAATATATGTTCATGTGGAGGGCATTCAATAGATGGGGGTCACACAAGTGAAGGCCCTGTCCTATATGCTATATCATTGAGCTGCTGACAGTGGAAAATCTTGAGAAAGAGCATTCTTGATGATCTACGTGTTGCCATTTATCTAAGCAAAAGGTCTGCACAGAAATGGTAGTCTCATTTGAATGAGTCTGCATTTGTCTCCTCTGCACAAGTATAACTCTGGCAGAGAAGCAGTTATAGCCCTGTAGGACTGCAATTGTGTTGAAATGAATTCATCTATTTTCTTATTTCAGGGTGTCTCTCACAACAGGGAGACCTGGCAGTGAGGGATTGGGGTCAGAACATATATTCTCATTTAAATGTTAAAAGAAGATGAGCAATTACATATAGTCCTTGTTTTGTGACTTCTCATTTAGCAACCATTCAAAGTTATGATGGACCTACTTTGGGGTACTTACAACTTGGATTTGAAGTTCCATCTCTCTCTCTCTCTCTCTCTCTCTCACACACACACACACACACACACACACACACACACACACAGAGAGAGAGAGAGAGAGAGAGACCCATGGGCACATGACCAACATTTTGGGCGCTGGCATTGTGGCCACATTTACAACCATTTGTAGTTTCCCACAGCCACATCACTGCAATTTATGACACTTTTGCAAAAAAAAAAAAAAAAAAAAAAAACAGCACTTCCAGCAAAATTGCACCTATAAGAACCATTGGATTGCTTAACGACTGTAGTGTTTGCTTAACAATGCAATAGTCATTTTACAAACACTGCAAAAAAGGTGAGAAAATCACATGACCATTTTATGACCATCATGAGATGATGATGGGCAGGCTCTATTACGATCATAAGTTGAGGACTACCTTACTAGTGGACTGTACCTTTTGTCCATTATAAGCATGATGGGGGAGAAGAAACAGTGAATAAGATCAGCCTTTTCCAACTCTGCCTTAATTATGTTAAGTATGAAGGAGAATTTTCAAGATTGTTTCATTACTTTGCTAGCAATAAATGTCATTCTAGCAATCCAAGTGGTTCTTTTTTCCTAAGCTTCCCAGCCTTACAAGACTTGAACAGTTTGAGTGAAATAAAAAGCAACAGTATTTCAAATTGTATTTTTGTATGGAAAGGTAATTTTTTCCTCTTACCTTCATTTTCTCTCTTTCCCTCTCTTATATATGCTTTTACAGTGCCTCAGCCTCCCACAATTACAAAGGAGTCTGCAAAGGATTATATTGTAGATCCAAGAGATAATATATTCATTGAGTGTGAAGCAAAAGGCAACCCCACGCCCACGTGAGTGTAATTGTAGTTTATTTTCTCAAGAGTTGTATACAAATATCTGAATGATTACTGTATCACTACAAGAATGGCTGTGCCCAGACTTATGTAGAATTCATGGTTAAGTTATTTTGGCAGTCACTTTATGATGAACCAAGCTAGAAAAAAATGTTCTCTAATACTAGACCCATGCTTATCACTATGACTCAAGATCATGTGGCTTAGAGCTCATTGAAACAATTTTTTTCACACCAGTATAAAAGAATTGTTTTGTTAAAAGGGTGTATGTCATTTATCATGCCAAGCATATCAAAAATTTATACAGAATCAAAGTGTTGTTGGAGTGGTTTGTGGTTGCTTTGCATCATAAAGATTCTGTTATAATCAGTATAGCGGTAGGCCTTCTAAATGCATTCTGGGATTTAAAATTGCCATATCATGATTGTTTTGCTAAGCATCAAATGTAGATATGGTGTAAATGTAGAACTCATCTCCACATAACATTAAAATCCTGAATGGGGGAATGTCCTTGCATTATATTTCATCCAAGTTGTAGGACTCAGGATCCATTATTGCAGAGAAAATTAATAGATCTCAAATAACCTGCACACCGTATAGCAACAGAGGCCACTGTTCTTGAACAGACCAAGTGACTAACTTTTGGTGCAATGTTGTTTACAGATTTTCCTGGACACGAAATGGCAAGTTTTTCAATGTTGCAAAGGACCCTCGATTAAGCATGAGGCATTGGTCAGGTACACTGGTAGTTGACTTCCGCAGTGGTGGGAGGCCAGAGGATTATGAGGGAGAATATCAGTGTTTTGCTCGGAATGACTATGGAACAGCTATCTCCAACAAAATATTCCTGCATGTTTCAAGTGAGTACATTTTTAACACAAATTGTTAACTTCATTATGCATTTCTATAGCCTTATCAGTTATATGGTTTAGTTTGCTAGGGCTTTGTTTTGTACTTAGAACGGTTATAAAATTTCTGGCATGCAATAAGCTCATATACAGTTTAATAAATACAGTGTTGCTGCTTACCAAGAGGTGAAAGAGACTTCTAGCATTATATATTTGTTTTAACATTGGTATAAAACAATAGCAGCCATCTTCGATTGCAGCAACTTAGAAAATGTTTGTATTTCTGTAAATGTATAATTTATGACTCTAAGAACTCTTTCCTAAGCATATTTTAGGATGGGGTAATAAAAAAAACTCAAGTTGATAGCTTTGATCACTCAATTGGAGCCACTCTGTTAGATTTTGGACATCACTACCAACAGTGATGTTTCCAATCTGCTCAGAAATAAAATCTGTTTATTCAAAGTTTATATGCCTGTGCTCCTATATTCTATCTTTTTGTCAGCATTTGAATTTCATCAGAGATTTTCTGTATTCATTGGAATCTTGTCTAATTTCTCACTCACATATTTTCTGGCCATTATTAATTATCCCAGGTTCATTTAATCAAGTATCTATTTGAATCATTCTCTTTAAATATAATACATGAGTAGATGCAATTTCTCTTACAAAGTTTATAATTTCAGAATCCCCTTTGTGGCCAAAGGAAAATTTGGACATTCAAGAGGTTCACGAAGGTGCTTCACTTATCTTGGCATGCAATCCCCCACCTGGACTACCACCCCCTGCTATCTTTTGGATGAGTAGCTGTAAGTCTGCACATGACTCACGTGGCTATAACTGTACTTAAAAATGAGACAGTTCCATGACACAAGATGCAATGGCATCGTAGGATGTCTATGTCAGGTTGTTCCTTTTGGATACTCGCCATATAGGGTACTTAGACCATGGCAAAAACTATGCCTTTGGATGTCATGGGTAACAATCCACACAACGCTTCATCTTTGTCAGGTTGAAGGAGGCTAATGCAAGCTAATGTATAACATATATAGAAGGGATACGTTTGCCAGCTATGATATAGCTGCAAAGGAATCTTATTTCATTCTTTGACAAAGTGACTAAATTAGTAGACCAGTGAAATGCGGTGGACATAGTATATGTAGACTTCAGCAAGGCATTCAACATAGTAGACCACAAACTACTTCTTGGTAAGTTAGAAAAAGGTGGGATAGACAGCATCACGGACGGATTTGTAACTGGCTGACAAACCATACTCAGCGAGTAGTCCTTAATGGTACTACAACTACATGGAGGGAAGTAAGTAGTGGAGTGCCACAGGGTTCCATCATAGGACCAGTACTTATCAGTATCTTCATAAATGACTTAGATGAGGAAATAGAAAGGGAGCTCATCAAATTTGCAGATGACATTAAGCTGGTAGAAATAGCCAACACCCCAGAAGACAAGCTCAGGATCCAAAAAGATCTTGGCAGACTTGAACAATGGGTCCTGACTAACAAAATAAAATTTAATGTGGAGAAAAGCAAGGTTTTACCCTTAGGCAGAAAAAAACCAAAGATGCAAGTACAAATTAGACGAAATCTGGCTCAAAATCAGTAACTGTGAGAGGGACTTAGAGTCCTAGTGGATGATCACTTAAATATGAGCCAACAGTGTGTGGCAGCAGCCAAAAAAAGTATTACAATCTTTGTATAAACAGAGGCATAGAATCAAAATCACATAAAGCATTAGTACCACTTCACAAAGTTAGTGAGACCACACCTGGAATACTGCATCCAGTTTTGGTCACCATATTACAAAAAAGATGCTGAGACTTTGGAAAAAAGTGGCAAAGAAGAGCAACTAAGATGATTAAAGGCTTGGAATCTAAAACATATGAAGAACGATTGCAGGATTTGGATTTGGCTAGTCTAGCGAAAGAAAGTCTAGGGATGATATGATAGCACTATTCTAGTATTTGAGGGTTGCCACAAGAGGAGGGGGTCAACTTATTTACAAAGCACCAGAGGGCAAGACAAGAAACAATGGGTGGAAACTAAACAAGGAGAGAAGCAACCTGGAATTAAGGAGAAACTTTCTAACAGTGAAGACCTGTGGAATAGCTTTCCATCAAGCTGTTTTAAGAAGAGATTGGACAGTCACTTGTCTGAAATGGTATAGGGTCTTCTGTTTGAGCAGGGGGTTGGACTAGAAGACCTCCAAAGTCCCTTCCAGCTCTATTCTGATTGATTATATAATCTATCTACTTTTTCCTCCTTCCATGTTCTCAAAAGCAACATGGAGGACATGTTGTCAGTTAGTAGCTGTTGCTTTTTAATCAGGTAGATCTGGAGGTGCAGACAGAGTTGGTCCAAGGTGTTTTGCCCCATCTCTGTCCCAAACTACTGCATTACAGTATTCCAATATATATATATATATGCAGGATCTCACTTTTTGAAATGTACTTCTTTGGTGTGTTCTCATACCCGTGAAAGTTGTCCAGATAAATAAATGGGCTGGCTGACTGCAGCAATTAGCAAAGGTTAATTTACATTAAAAAAACAAATCTGTGCCCTGCCTTCTAGATTCGTAAATATCTTCTTTTTTTCACATCGGCTAGATAGCATGGGGACAAAATCCGTTTGACTAAAGTACAAAAACAACTAATGTTTACATGAAAAACACCATAAATTGTTTTCATAAATTTCACTGTATGATCATATGTGAAAAAATTAATATTAAAGGAAAGCATCTCAAAAGGTTTTTCCTAACTGCATTCATCTTAATAATTATGGTGGCTCAATTATTCTAGCGTCTTAACGCTAGCAAGAATTAATATGTGGTGTTTGGAGCTTGTTATGCCTAGTAGATAATGGTCATTGGTTCCAATGTAGCTATGAAATGTAGCACATAGCTATGTAATACAGCTATGAATTCTAAAAAGAATTGCTGTTCCTTCTTGCAGCCATGGAGCCAATCCATCAAGACAAGCGCGTCTCTCAAGGGCAGAATGGTGACTTGTATTTCTCTAATGTCATGCAGCAGGATGCTCTGACTGACTATAGCTGCAATGCTCGCTTTGCTTTCACACATACCATCCAGCAGAAAAATCCTTACACCCTCAAAATCCTGACCAGTAAGTATTTATTATGAATAGCTTAGTTGGAGTAATAACAGCAAGGTCCTTTCTATACCAGCTGTGCTGGCAATGTTCAGAGAAAATCTTCTCTGCAAATGTGGCAGCATTAATGAAATTGTATTTTTATTGTTCAGTCATTTCTTAATTTATGTTGTTTCCATTCTGCATGTTTAGAAAACATTGAAAATTATTTATCTTCTCACATGATTGTTTTGCATTAGTGTCCAAGGAGAACAGAGATGGGAAGGGAGGGTGAAGGAATTTTAAAACAGCCCTACTAATCCTCTTAAGAAAAAATATCTATCTACAGACCCAAACATTTAAATATTTTTAAGGAATATCATTTATTTGAATATGTTTTTGGAAATTTGAATAGCAATGTGAAACTCTGGTCTTATTTTGTGTTTTTAGTCTACAGCTTTCTTGTGGATATGATCCTGCACCACAGAATTCTCAGGAGATTAAGTGATCCTCCTGTTTTTAAATGGAGAAGTTTTATTTAATATGTCTGTGGAGATTCTCAGTCATCCAGGTCATAGCTATCTCAAGGTGCTTTTTTCTTCAAAAGGCAACTGAACTGTTTTTTTTTTCCTTGAGGAAGAAGAAGAAAACATTTTGCTTCTCATCCAAGAAGCTTCATCAGTTCTGAGGGGGGATTGAAAGGATAGGTACCGACAATTGAGACTGGATGGTGGGGGATGGAAGAATAGGTTGTGATAGGATGTGGGTGGGGAGAAATGGAAGTATTGTATTTCTTTGCAGTCATCTGGTCCTTAGAACTCTCTCTGAGAGCTGCTGAGATCACTTGGAGGTTTATCTGTGCTCTCAGGGTCACCTGAATCAGGGTGCAATTCGTTGTGGAATTTTCTTGGAACTGCTGCAAAACCTACTTTGTAAACTGGAAATAGATGGTTCTTATTCCTCCCCCCCCCTTTTTTTTAAATGTTTGGTTATAGGAGAAGGGATCATTTTAGAAACCTTCAACAGACTTTTACCTGATACTGTTTTTTTTTTAATTTAGAAAAACAGGTTAAACATTATTTCCACAATTAGACTAAGCTTGATTTTTCTAAATGTATCCATCTCTATGCTTATTTAGTAGTCTGTAAAGAAACTATGTATTTGGCTTCATTCAACCTCTTATGTTCAGCTTGATTCTGAAAACCTCACCCTTAATTTCTTCTGGTACTTTGGTAACACTAGGAACTATCCTTTGGACATTTCTGGTCTTCAGATATCATTGATCTAAGAAAAACTATAGACACCTGACAATATTGCAGAGACATCACCTGCATTCATTAAGGGTTTGCTCTTCATTAGAGACTACAAGGTGTGTAAAGATAAAGCAAATTTTGTCTTCATTTTTTAAAAAATTATTTTACCTGAATGGTAAAAAATCTTATTTAAAAAAACTGAAGGGAATAGTTCAAATAATCTCCAGGAATCAACACTTACTTGAAAGCCCAATATATAAATGGAATAAGGGAAAAAAAGAGATAGTAGATGACTAGTTCTGAACACTGAGAAGATAACCTCCATACAATACATAGTTCTTGGCTTGTAGTAGATATATCTCACTGCTGATTTATTTAGGCATATATTCTTGTTCAAATATATCTCCAGGAATCAACACTTACTTGAAAGCCCAATATATAAATGGAATAAGGGAAAAAAAGAGATAGTAGATGACTAGTTCTGAACACTGAGAAGATAACCTCCATACAATACATAGTTCTTGGCTTGTAGTAGATATATCTCACTGCTGATTTATTTAGGCATATATTCTTGTTTTTTTTAAAAAAATATGGAACTTGGAGCCATTCTAGGTTTCTGCCTATAATGTTAACCATCTTGAGAATATTGAAGAAAGTTACTGTACATTCTAGCTCACAGGAATATCTCTTTAATATGATTGGACATCACTAATGCCAAATAATTTATGGGATTATAAATTACATAATTACATAACATACAAAAAGTATAAAGGAGTGCTTCAAAAAAGGAGAGTTAATGTTTTAATGAGGAAAGTTCTGTGGGCCTTCTTTGTAGGACAAAATGGATGAATAGTTGTGGACTAGAATATAGCCAAAGAATGAATGACCAGATATCAGCCATAATTTCAGTCATTTTGGTATTTACCAGCTCAGTTCTTATTTACAAATATCAGCTTTCCCCATCATTTTATATAAAAATCTTAGGGTAGAATGTGACTTCTAACATATATTGACAATCCCAGGCGGAATGCTAAAAGGGAACCAGGACAACTCAGTCCAGCCAACTCGGTGTAGCCCACTCACCACGGCCAACTTGCTGCACCAACTTGCTGTGGAACAACGTGCCATGGCCAATGTGCCACTGGACAACTCGCCGTGGGACAATATCAAAGAAATGGTGGAATAGAATCATTAAAAAAGTATGCAAAAGGAAGGACAAAATTAAATGTGAATGGCAGAAAGTAAAATAAGTTTTTAATTATTTTAAATACTTAAATTGAATTGTTGAATTGTCCCACAATGAGTTGGCCACAGCGAGTTGTCTCATGGCGAGTTGGCCACACTGAGTTGGCCAAGGCAAGTTGGCTGTGGCAAGTCGGCTGGACCAAAGTGTCCCATTCCGTGCTGAAATACATCCTCTGGTCTGCCATCTTGTACTGTATTACCATGGTTACTATGTTCAGAATCAAAATATGCTTTGTATAATTAAGTTTCTGTTTGATATTAGTCTTTTAATTGATAGTCTCTCATAAACACACACAAATACACAATTTCTTTCTGTATATTTTTATAATTCTGTTATTTCTTGTGAATTTTTACTTTACCCTATAGAAATGTACACAACTAAAGAAAAGTTTTATACCAAGCTTGGAACAAACCAGTTCTATTTATAATATCCTATTAAAACAGCTCTATGAATTTCAATGAAATAAACCTCAAAACATTTCAGATATTATCCTGTAGGGAACAATATGAATTTGGAGAAGCCATTTGCTTTTTGTTCTTATTGTTGGGCCATAAAACTGGTAAGGCTGTCCACAATGCAATTTGTAGAAAAAAATGTTCAAGTTATTATTGTTGTTATTTTTAATTTAACAAACATTCTGCAAACAGAGCGCAGAAAGATTTCTTCTTGACTATTGCTATGGGAATGGAAATAAATGCATTCCTCTCCCTTCGAGACAAGTGGGTCATGGCAGACAGTTAAATGAAGTTCTAATCTAAGGGTATCAAGAGCAATGCATCTGTATTTAGAAAAATTTAGCTACATAAAATTGCATCTATTATCTAATTGAGAAGTGGTTCTTTGTGTAAAGATAAATAACATACACAAAAATTTGGAAGATACTTTATTGCAGTTTTTACACTTTTCTTCATCTGCTAATGAAAATTACTGGCAGTGTAGGAGGCCACTTGGAAACAATCAATCTATAATAAATATGATTGGTTGGAAGAAAATGTGATAAATGAAAAATATACATAATGACATGGTTTTCAGAAATATTTAAGTACTATTCTGTTTTAAGCTTTTAAATTGCTCTATTTTCATTTCTTAGTGCTTGAAAAATTACAAAATATAATCAAATTTGTTTCTCTAAAAATACACGGCTAATGCCGAATTGTTTATTTTCAGTTCAAGTTATAAGAAATTGAATAAGAATATATCCAGCCTGGGACCATGGCAAACTTTATAAAACACTTTATGACTTTAAAAATGATCGTAAAAAAATTAATGACATAATACAACTTGTCATAAAACATTTCCTGTGGTCAGCTGCTGATATTTGACTGACTATACATTCAACTTAGGCCAGTTTCAAGTCAGATATATCACTGAATATCTCCCTGGATTTTAAAGAACTTTTCCAGTGATGGAAGTACATTAGAAGCTCTTGTTATTGTTGAAGACTTTGTGGAATCTGGTACGGAAATATCTCTGAAAGGATGACCTGAGGATTGTCTAGTACAACAAATTTGTTCATCCTATAAAAAGTATTGCTTTATTAAGAATTAGTAATAAATGCACAGATTGCAACTATACACCTACTAAGTTGAAATGAATGGATTTATTTTCAAATGAATGATGTATCCAATGTATTTCATCCTTTCTTGGAAGAGCAAAAGAACATTTTCCAGATCTTCTTGAATCTCATAATGAGATTGATAATGAACGAATTGATAATGAATCTCATATTCAGATGCTTGGCAATTGGTTCATTTTTATGATGATTGCTGTGTCCCAAGGTCATGTGATCTGTTTTTGTGACCTTATGACAAGCAAGTGAATGGGGAAGCCAGATTCACTTAACAACCATGTTACTAAATAAACAACTTTAGTGATTTACTTAACAACTTAGGCAAGAAAAGTCATAAAATGGTTCAAAACTCACTTAAATGTCTCATTTAACAACAGAAATTTTGTGCTCAATTGTGGTCATAAATCGAGGACTACCTGTACACATGCTCATTTTCTTAGTATCTTTTTTGCAAAGTTCATTACAAAACAAAACTTAACAATAAATACATGTTAGATATAAAAAAGAACAAATCACAAGATTAGCTGAGCTTATCAATCAGTCTTTTGCACATTTTGCATATGATGTAGCAGAATTTGCAAATTACCAAAAAATTCTGTTCCATCCTTGAGTTTGACTAGAGAAGGGAAAGAATAGGCTTCAGGTGGACAGTAATAATTAAGTTTAACACACACACATACACATACACACCACCCACACAAGAATCCTGCACATTTTTATACTTTCATGTAATGCCTGAATTATTCCAAGATGGGAAACGTATATATGTATCTCTTGCCCAATTGATGTCCCATCATTTTCGACATTCTGCAACAAAGAACTGTATTAATATTAATAGGCTCTTCTAACAAGTTATAATTTTGGAAAATCAAGATTATTTATGAAATGGTTACTCTAAATCAGTGGTGGGATTCAGCCAGTTCGCACCACTTCTGCAGAACTGGTAGCTAATTTTTTGTTGCCCAGGCCCAGAATGGACTTCCAAAAGCGGCATCTACACAGAGAAGCAGTTGTTCACATATTTGAATCCCACCACTGCTGTAAATAAGTAGAGAAAGCTCTCCTGTAGTTATTTCCTCTCCAGTTTATGGAGGATGCAGTGTCAGGGGACACAGCACGTATACTTATCCTTGCCCCTCATATATGCTTATGCTGTGAAAAAATAGAATGTTTGGGATTAGTGTGTATTTTAGCTTTTTGCATGCCAAAGGAAAGCATGTTTAATTTTAATCCATGAAAATGTTCACTGCCGCTCTGTCAAAACTAGAGCAACATTACTGTAGAAATTTTATTTTGACAAAAATTAATTAAGATTAAGCCCCTAATCCTAAGGCTAATGTTCTGTTCTTCAATCTTCTGGCTTTTTCACAAAACAAGTTTACTCATAGGAATATATGAATAATCTCATTGGTCAGAATCATGGAATTTAGTAACATATAATCTCTTTCCATTACATTTTATAAATCCAATTAAGAGGACCTATGTTATATTCACAGCTGTATATCTCTTGCCTATTGTGATAGATGCAAAGCTGACTAGATTTCATTGTTTAATTGTTAATTGTTTCAGCAATAGGTAGATTTGCAGGAAGCTTAGGGAGACAAATCTGTGTGCATAGAGTATAAGCAATAAGAGGAACAATGTTAGGATTATTCAACAGTACATACCCTATGAAAAGATGGATGCTTTGTTAAATTGCATCCATTTAGATTGGCAAAGCTTTGGAGAAATGCTTCACTTTAATTAAACTTCAAAAAAACACCCCCTTAAATAATTATTTGCATATCGGTGTATTATTTCATCAAAGTTTTCGTTGGAAATTGAATAAGCAATTTACCTGTAAATATCTTGGGAAGTTGTCACTGCCCTATTTTATGGGCAGGAATGTATTCACCAAAGTGCTGTTTACAGATACTCTTTCTAGAACTATTCTATTTCAGTGTCTTCATCTGTACATTGATCTAAATATCTGCAAAACTGTAAAGTTCAGTATGCAAGAATAATTTAGCTATTTCATACAATCCCTATTGGTTTCAAAGTAAATTGCTCTGAAAATTTCCTACAAGCAGTCATTGATTAATAAGTTCAATCAAATCTGGAAGACGTTCATGAGCAATCTCATAGGAATATATGTCTTGTACCAAGTCAACTCATTGATTCTTCTGACTCAAGTTTGTCTTATTAAGTAGCAGCAACTTTTTAGGTGTTCAGGCAGGAATGTTTTCTAAACTTAACTCAAAACTGTCTAGAACTGGAAACTATTGTGTGCAAAAAGAGGTACAGCAACTGTCAGAGGTCGATTAAGCAATTTAAACATGTGCTTCAAAGATCCACACTAGTTAATTTACATCAGTAATCTATTAACTTAATAATTAACTAATTACACACTAGCATATTTAGTAATGCTACCTATTTCTCCTCTGTGGTTTATGAATAAACCTGAAATAATAAATGAATAAATAAGCCTCTTGGCATTTTTAATAAAAGTATTGATCGTAGTTTGTGTTTATGTAGGAGCTACAAAATAATTTCTGGCTCTGGGTGATTTGTTTTTTCAACTCAATTTTCTTTCCTGCATTCAAATGTATGCAAGAGAGAAAGAGAAAATCAGCATCCATACTCATAAATAGGATAGATATTTATACAGAATTCCATTATATAGTAATCAGTAGAAATCTGTTCTAAACCAAAAACTCAAATGTATGTATTTGTGCCCTATCACATAGGAAGATTTAGCTCAGCATTCTAACACATAAAGACCCTCTGTTAGATGCTGTTAATTAATGATTAATTGCAAACATTTCTTTCTCTTAACACTTATTAACACAATCCTGTCAGGTTCCAAAGAGAAAAAAAAATCTCATGTTTCTATCTTGAACTTCTAGAGAAAAGGAAGAATAGAAATCTAGTTAATAAATAATATTTTAAAAATAACATACCTACTGCCTCTTTGTATCTTAATTGTTTATCTGTAAGTTTTATACAAGTTTTTAACCTGTTCTGTTTGCAATTTTTTCTGTTCACCTGCCAATTTTTTTGTAACTGTTCTGCTCAGATGTTTGTCTTAACCTTTCTACAGTTCTTATATTTGTCCTTTGTCTTGCTTTAAATATTTCTTTGTAGTGCACATATGTAGTGCACATTCACATGCACAGAGCTTAGGGAAATGTCACTCTCTGTGGTAATTTTCATTTAATTAACAAAATGAGTCCATATTGAACAGCATGGAATAATTGCTTGTTTTATGACACCATTTATTCAAGATTCTTTCCACATAACAGCTTTTTTTAAAAGATCTTATGTCAGCTGTCTTCTTGTTTTGAAACCTATTTTGATGAATTCAAATTTAATTTTTATGAAATGCGTATAGTGGTATGGCATTTTATTTTTGCTCATCAAATTAACTGTGAATTAACTTCTTATCACGGGCAGAAATCTTTTATTTCTTTTGTTCAATTATTTTCCTTCCCCCGAGAGTTCATATTTCTTTGAGGGGGAAATCATAAGTATTATTTAGAAATATAGTTGTGTTTGCTGCAGTACAATATTTAGTCATATAACAAGCTCAATTTTGATATTTGTGCACAAATCAAAAGCAAGAACTCCATCCAATGATTTATTAAGGCATCCACAATGACAGAGTCTTTAGAACTGATATTTGGAATCATGTCAGTTTCAAATATTGTAACCTAACACAGAGATGCTTCCATTCTTCAGAGTCATTTAGATCTATGGAATTAATTATATTTTCCTTTGCACCCCATTAAATTGAGATCCACTTAATATTAGATCTAAGTTCAATTAAGCATTTAATAAAGCCATGGTTTTGGGACCAAAAGATTTTGCCAATCTTAGAACGCTTTTGCCAATGTTGTACTTTGAATCCTTCATATTAAATCAGTAATCAGTCCTTGATTTTCAGTGCTACTTCATCATATTATAATGCTAAAGTGGATAATCAGATTCTTGATTTTTTTTCATTCTATGTAGTTTAACGAAGATAACTGCTTTAAGCTAAAGCTTTTTATGCTCTCTGCTATAGATAAGGGACAATTTTCTTGTTAAAAAACCCTTAATTACTGGCTTTAATGTCGAGGTAGCTCCTTCTTTGTGACATTTTTTTCCTCTGAAACAGATCCTAAAAATAATCTGGATTTGCTATACAAAGAAAGTGTAAATATTTCATTAAAAATGAAATATCAATGAACTAATTGAGTGTAATAGTTTTCTTAAAATATAGATCAGTAAAAATCAAAGTTGACATATTTTTAGTTTCTCTGGATCCCAATATATATATAATTTATTTTGTGGTCACAGACCAAGTGGATCCCAATATAAGTTAGCTTGGTTAAGTTGAGTTTTAAAATTTTTGCTGTACAAACAAGGCTATATTCATTATTGTGAGCATGGAAAAGAAGTGTGCAGCACAGCACTCCGCAACTTTTCTGGCTCTGGACTGGCAGTGGCGGGGGGGGATGGTTTCACATGCTCGCTCTCTGCTTGCACAGTCTGGTTCCTAATGGACCATGGCACGATCCCCAGCCAAAGATAAAGAGGTTGGAGACACCTGATGTAGCACATCTGAAATAGAATTTATTTATGTCATTGAATTCTAACACTACCCAGTAGCTGACAACTCTAACCAGCTTACAGAGGATTAAAACAATAAAAGTAAAATACAAAATACCAAGAACACATTGAGGGGGAATGACCCCCTCTATGTACCACAATTACTATACAATTGGTGGGATCACACTCCACCCTTAACTTGGTGCCTGTGGGAAGAGCTAGGTCTTTAATTCTATCTTAAAGATCAATTGAATTGGAGCCATACAGACCATGGAGGGAATATTTTTGAGGATAGACACAGCTACATAAAGAAGGAATGCCTATTGGGTTTTATAATGTGATTGTTTAATGGATAGGTCCCAGAATATACCAACTCTCTCAGGATGGCCAAAGAGAATTGTGGAGAGGCAGTCTTACAAATGCCCAGGTCTTATGCCCTTTATAATATTTTGTGAAATATCTTGTGCAATGAAGTATCTTATGAACATGCCTTTGGCTGAAGGAAGAATCCGTGGCTCAGTGGAATGGCTTGCTCAATAGCTTAGTATCAAAATATGAAATTTTTCACTTGAGCAAGGATGAATCACAATCAGGTTTAAGTGAATGTCACAGTTTCCATGAGACTCAGCACATAATATTGAACATCTTATTACATAATGTTTTTTAACAACATTTGATTTAATTGTTTTAGTTGTTTCTTCTAATTCATATTTTCCCACTGTAAATTTCACAAATATTTTTGAAATAGCATTGGAATTTTATTGAATACTATAGGTAATTGTGATCTCCACAAACAGGTATAAAATGACACTTTATAGGGACATTTCTGCAGTATTTTTATTTTGAAAAAATGAAACTTTGAATTTCTTTTTTCTAAACATCAAATTTGCACATGGTTAAATTTGAAATATGTTAAATATTTATCTTTTTTGCTGTCAATAAAGTAACTTATTATTACAACTATTATTACTGCTTCATTCCATTCCATTATGTCTCTATTCCGTTGTCTGATTTTTCCACTGAAACCTTGTTCCATTTTAGTATTTTACCAATCTTGTTAAAGATTCCCACATCAGATCTTGGATGTTGCAAATATTCTCTAATTTGCTTGTTTCCTATTGTCTTTCATTTTCACACTGCCCTTTGGAGAAGGATTTACAATTCTATATTTTTCCTCCCTCATGTCCTGATTTCAGCCCGAGGTATTGCAGAAAGGCAACCCAGCTTCATGTACCCTATTGGGACCTCAAGCAGTCAGACGGTGCTAAGAGGAGAAGACCTCTTGCTGGAATGCATTGCCTCAGGAGTGTACGTACCAGTTGGGATCAGGGAAACCATGGTTTGTCAAATATATTCTGGTATAAATTCTTGGAGATAAAATCACAGCCAGTTGCTTATTCTTAATAATTTTTGGTTTGGTAAATAAAAGATAGTTTCACAAAAACGAAAAGAAAATAATTCAAATGATAAAATTCAAAAACATAATTTTAGTGGGATTAATCATTGATGTTTATGGGCAGGGGGAGCAAGTGATGAAAAATTGTTGTGGTGATATTATCCAAGCTTCAGAGCTTACACACTTATATATAACACAGTTTTCAAGTTATTCATGTTACCCAGAAAGTCAGATAAATTGATTCATCTAGTTTGGTGTTGTTTATGCTGGTATATCTCTCAAACATTTCACAGAAAACTCTCTCACAGGATAGTATCTGAGATCTTTAGTCTCAGGAGCCAAAAACTAACAATTTAATTTTATACATGAATATGTTCAATAATTAATTTCTAATCTTTTCTCATTGATGTCCTTGCCTCTAGAGTTGTTTGGCAGGCATTTTGAGAGAACAAATATTTTGAGGTCAAGTTTCCAGAAAATTTCTTTATAATACATAATTCATGTTGGAAAAATATTGGCATCAAATGCTTAAATCTTCTGGATTTTTTTTTTTTTTTTTGGTTCCTTCAGTCCAACGCCAGGTATCATGTGGCACAAAAAGGGTGGTGATCTCCCATCAGGCAGGATCAAGTTGGAAAACTTTAACAAGGCTCTTCATATTGCAAATGTTTCTGAGGAAGATTCTGGGGAATATTTCTGCTTAGCTTCCAACAAAGTGGGCATTAGTCGCCATAGTATCTTGGTGAAAGTGAAAGGTAAGTCACATTTACTGTGCCTTCTTATTCTCCAGCAGCTGGTAATACAAAAGACCAGTGAAGGAGGCTTACATAGGAAATCTTTCTGGGGGCAATCTAACCATGTGATGGGAACATGGTATTAGAATGCTTCCTGAGTAGCAAATTACTGTTTTGAACACAAACCTACATATCTTTATTCAGCCAAGTGGAAGAAAACATAAAACTGTCATTGTTCCTTAGGTACAGTGAATTGGGGAACAGTCAGATAAGAGAGACCATAACCCACAACTACATAGTGGGTAGAGCAAGTGTCTTAAAAAGGAGCCTGCCTAAATTATCAGGATATAATAGTGATGGCAGACTTGCTAAATTCTGTTAATGCAGCTTTGTAATAAAGTAGAATTAGCTTATTTGGCCATGTTTCCCCTTTGGTCTACCTGATAAGACTGATACCTCCTCTGCCATAGTGACTACTTTATGGAAGATTCACCACCAACACAACCATCATCCTTCCCAAAGTGAGGTCAGCTTCATCCCTTCTTATTTTTCAGAAGTTCTCTCAAGATCCGCTATATCATCAGGCCTGGGGACCAGGGGAAGTGGCTCCCTTGCTAATCTAATCACTTGAGTGCCTTGTGCTTTTTAAACTTTTTCTAATGACCATTGTATTACATGTTTATTACTGTATATCTTTGTTACTACACTGCCAAAGCCACATCTTGTAAGATAGGTAGTTATATAAATTTGATACATAAATAAATGTAATAAACTGGCTTTTTAAGAGTTCAAAGAATGAGACATAAACAAAGTGTATTCAAATTATGAGACCTTTTCAAATACATTCCCATTTATATGCCCTAAAGATCAAATATTATATCACTAAATTTTTCAGGCCCTCAAAAACTAAAGGTTTCCCACAATTCTTCCCCCTTTTCTATATATTCTATGCAAGTAAATTAATAAGTAGCAAAAATAGAGGATCTCCAGCTGCCTTTTATTCTTGTTCTGATTAACTTGCTTTCAATATGTACAGATTGTTGCTTATTTTAGGATCATCCCAATAGAATAGAATAGAATAGAATAGAATAGAATAGAGTTGGAAGGGACCTTGGAGGTCATCTAGTCCAGCCCCCTGCTCAAGCAGGAGAACCTAAACCATCTCAGACAGGTGACTGTCTAGTCTCTTCTTAAAAATCTCCAGTGATGGAGTGCCCACAATATCTGGAGGCAAGCTGTTCCACTGGCTGATTGTCCTCACTATCAGGAAGTTTCTCCTTTATTCCAGGTTGCTTCTCTCTTTGATCAGTTTCCAACCATTGTTTCTCGTCCTTCCCTCTGGTGCTCTGGTGAACAACATGAACCCCTCTTCCTTGTGACAGCCCCTCAGATATTGGAATACTGTTATCATGTCTTCCCTGTTCCTTCTTTTCTTTAGACTAGCCAAACCCAAGTCCTGCAGCCGTTCTTCATATGTTTTAGTCTCCAGGCCTTTGATCATCTTATTTGCTCTTCTCTGATTTTTTCCCAAACTCTCAGCATCTTTTTTGTGATATGGTGACCAAAATTGGCTTCAGTATTCCAGGTGTGGTCTTACTAGGGTTTTATAAAGCAGTACTAATACTTCACATGATCTTGATTCTATGCCTCTGTTTATACAACCCAGGATTGTATTGGCTTTTTTGTCTGCTGCTGCACACTGCTGGCTTATAGTCAAGTGATCATCCACTAGGACTTCAAAGTCCCTCTCACAGTTGCTGTTTTTGAGCCAGGTCTCGCCTAATCTGTACTTAAACCATTGATTTTTCCTGCCTAAATATAAAACTTTGCTTTTTCCACATTGAAACTCATTTTGTTGGATAAGGCCCATTCTTCAAGTTTGTCTATATCTTTTTGGATCCTGAGTTTGTCCTATGGGGTGTTGGCTACTCCTGTCAGTTTGGTGTCATCTGCAAATTTGATGAGTTTCCCTTCAATTCCCTCATCTAAGTCATTTATGAAGATATTGAAGAGTACTGGGCCTAAGACGGAATCTTTTGGTACCCCACTGCTTACTTCTCTCCATGTGAATGTAGTGCCATTGAGGACTACTCATTGAGTATGGTTTGTCAGCCAGCTGCAGATCCAACTGGTGGTGATGTTGTCTACTCCACCTTTTCCTAGCTTACCGAGGAGTAGGTTGTGGTTTACTTTATCAAATGCTTACTAAAATCTAAGTATACTACGTCCACAGCATTTTGCTGGTCTACTAGTTTATTAACTGTCATTATTAACTGAAAGGAAGCTTTGCTTCATTTCAGCTTCCAGTCATTAGAAAAGTTTATAAATGTATTTACAGAACATTACCATCCTTTATCCCATTTATATGAACAGCAAAGGACACCACTTCTGTGAAAAAAGTGCAACTAGTCTGTAACATAATTGTGTTCACTATGTTCCAAGCAACTTCTGTGCCTTGTACTATCTTCTAGTACTTCTCCATACAAAACTCATAATTTGTCTTCCTGTAGTCATTTCACCTTTCCTGTAGTTTTTCTTTTTTTATTTATTTTTCTTTCATATCCATATTTTCTCCAATGAATCACTATAATGACAGCTATAGCATCTTTTTTTATATTTATCACTTTTGTTCTAAAGCTTCCCCATATTGGTTGGATGAACCAGAGAACCTTATTCTGGCTCCTGGTGAAGATGGAAGACTGCTTTGCCGTGCCAATGGTAACCCCAAACCTTCAATTCAGTGGCTTGTGAATGGAGAACTTCTAGAAAGTAAGCAAGAACAGAGTCTAATTATTTGAAAGATTTACAGTATGTTTCTTGACCTCATTATAGTTAGAAGTGAGGTAAAGATATTCTCAAATAACTGCTGGTAATCACCCTCCCTCCCTCCCTCCCTTCCTTCCTTTCTTCCGGTGACTCTGAGGTCTGATGATTATCTGGATTAATTCTATTTTTACTGCCTCAAGTCGTAATTGCTTGAAGGGCAGGTCAAATTTTTAAATGATTGCTGATATCAACAAAGTATAAAATATGAGCTCCAGAGGAGTCAATTCATTTCTACTTTAGTCAATGCTTATTTGCATTTTTAATTCCTGAAAATATTTGTTTTATGTTATTAAAAATAATTGATTGTTGGCATGTTTATACGCTACAGTATATCTGTGATTCTATACTTTGTCTGTATTTCACAGGAGGTTAAATTAAGATGTTAAAGTGGCTTTTAAGATTGATGTTTAAATGACATTTACACAAGATCATTTGCTCTTTTTAGCTAGACCTTAAACATAACATGCACTCATAAACAAACATGGCTTACTGTGGTCTTGATATTATCATATTTTTCTATATAGATCCTCAGCCTTCTTAAGAGGTTCTGAGATTTGCTTTTTTTTTCTCAGTTATCTCTGCCCTATGCTGCCTTTTCTTCTTTGCTTATAAATTTACCATATTTCTGCATTCCAAATTCTGTAAAGACATAAATCTTCCTGTCTGCATGAGCAACGGAAGTTTCCTGCTTCATTCTAAAATGTTGCTGTTCTATATAGAGACATAAGAACTTATTGAATGCTTGCAGACCACAATCATTTAGTAGGGCAGCTCTCTGAAATAGCTAGCTATACTGTCTTATTGTTGTTGTTGTTGTTGTTGTTGTTTCTTTTTTTAAAAAAAAAAACTCCCATTTTTTCAAAAATTTGAGGGGCACTTGATTCATGTAACAGCAGTAGTTAGTATAAGCATAATTGGGTGATGCTTTAAGGATGAGATCAAAAGGCACAGTCATGGAATGTTTAGCCAAACCAAACAAAAGCTAGCTACAGGTGGTGGTTCTTCTTTAACAACTGGTTGCTTAGTGATCATTCAGAGTTACAATGGGCTCCTTCAAAAAAATGGCTCTGATTCTGGAGCTCTGAAAGTGGCATGTGACTGTATTTTGGGCACTTAGCAACAAGCCCATCTTGCACATTCCACAGTCACATGACTGATTTACAAAGATTTTTTTTTACTAGTTTCTGGCCTGTTTTGATGAATGGATGCCTATAACAACCATGGGATTCACTTAACAAGTGGTGCATTCATTTTACAACTGCCACATTCACTCAATGAGTGCTGGAAAAAAAACCCGTCATAAAATCAGGTTAATTATGTGGGTGATCCAATTTATGATAGTCATGACTTATGACAGAAATTCCCAGCTCCATTGTGGTCATAAGTTGAAGGCTACCTGCCTAAACGAATCATGGTGGCGCATTGGTTAAAATGCAGTATTGCAGACTAACTTTGCTCGCTGCCAGGAGTTTAATCTTGACCAGCTCAAGGTTGACTTGACCTTCCATCTTTCTGAGGTCGGTAAAATGAGGACCCAGATTGTTGGGGGCAATATGTTGACTCTGTAAACTGCTCAGGGAGGGCTATAATTATAAATGCTATTGCTATTGCTATCTGTAAGTAATTAAAATGAAAGGAAAGAGACCTTTTTTTAATTAAATCAATTCATACTGAGGCCCTTGCAATGAGTAAAAAAGAAACAATAAGAGTTTTTCTGCTTGTACTTAAGTTTGCTGATATATTATCTATATCTATATTAACATAAATTGGAATAATTTGGTACACTGTCAATATAATGGATATTTCCTTCTTAGATATACAACCTCAATGATAGACCATAGAAACAAAGATGTATTGAAATAAATATTGAACAGAAATGTAATATATAGATTTAGATCTAATGATTGAAAAATAAGGTGTTCTATGGACCAGCATGACTGGAACTACTACTCTAAAATGGTTCTCATCCTCAATATTTAATAATATGTATGTCCAGATCAAGAGAGAAATTCCATCCATTGTTTCTTCACCTCAGATGAGATTGATTGTTTAATTTTAATGCTTTTGTAGTGTCCATTTGATATAAATTATAACAAAAAGAAATAAAAGCTATAGTTTAATTTTATGTCCATCTGATTCCAAGGTTCTGCTCCCAATCCCAGCCGTGAAGTTACTGGAGACACCATTATGTTTCGGGACATCCAGAGTGGCAGCAGTGGTGTATATCAGTGCAACGCTTCTAATGAACATGGGTATCTGTTAGCCAATGCATTTGTTAGTGTGTTGGGTAAGCACTGAACAGACAAAGTTCTCAGTTCTTTACCTTTGTTCATGCAGTTTAGCTTTAACAACCTTTAAAGTAATTTCCTCTTTTTCTACAATTGTTTGGTTATTAAATTATTTGTGTTTTACCAGGAAGTAATATCCATTATAGTTGTGATTAAGCAATGACTTTAAGATGGTTTGTTGAAAGAGCTGTTATATTCTGCTTTACATAATACAATGGCTCAACTCTGAATACAAAGAAATCATGTTAAGATATCATGGTTTACTGAAATAATAATCCCAACCACTGATTAAATTATGTGAAAATTTGTTTAGGTATACAGTTGTTAAGGACAACAAATTGATTTAATATTTAAAATAAAAGGAAAGCTTTTCAAAGATGAAAAGAAAATATAAATATATCAAATTGTTCTTGTTATGATTTAGTGGAATTAGAAATTGAATTGTTTAAAAGCATCAGTGCAGAATTCAATGTCTGTATCAAAATGTCTCCATACATAATTCAGGTCAAAGTGATCCATCTTTGTGCATTTTGATTTATGGCATTTCATAGCCTAATATACATATACATATTACGTTATAGTAACAAATAAGACAACCTGAGACCCTTTGGGTCATCATTTTATTGATATTTCCTTCAGAGGAAATATATACAGAGATGTATCTGTCTTGAAAATAGTCCATGTGGAACTGTGTACCACAGGCAGACATTAAAACACGAAATGTTTTGTGATATTTTATATTATGTCATCAACTGTTTTATAATAATTTTATATTTTTTTAATATACAATTTTCCAAATTTCAACCCCAAGAGTCTGGATCCTGGAATTTTGACCTAGATTCCTGAAGTTGAAATTTGGAAAATGTAATAAAAAAATTTATAACATAAAAATTATGTCATAAAAATTGTCTGTGTTTGTGTGTATGTGTATATATATGTATTGTGTGTGTCACTGTGTGTGTGTGCTTATTTTTTTATTAAAAATTTTACAAATTTATTACAATATAAACCCTCCCCACCCCTGCCCCCCGTGCCCCACTTCCCAAAGCTGATTACAGGGTAACAAATAAACAAACATAATCTAACTAATATAAACCAACTATACTATCAATCAAAACCATAACACACTTTAACTCCTTCTCAAAACAAATATTAACAAATTAAAACAAAAATAATAATATAATTAAAACCATTAATAATTATCTAAAATCTACTCAAAAGCAAGGTAATACTTTTCAGTTTCATACTTCTTTTGAATATAATCAATCCATCTTCTCCAAACCATAATGTATCTTTCTTGTGAATGGTCCTTCAAGTAGGCAGAGATTTTCGCCATTTCTGCTAAATTAGACACCTTAAGTATCCATTCTTCCAAAGTAGGCAGTGAGTTTTTCTTCCAATATTGCCCCACCAATAATCTTGCAGCTGTTATAAGATTCAACATCAAATTGATTTCTTTAACATCAAAATCTACAATAATACCCAACAAAAATAATAGCGGAGTAAACTTTATCTTTCTCTTAAAAATCTTTTGAATATTCCACCAAATCTTAATCCAAAAAGTTTTAATATCTCTACAGGTCCACCAAATATGAAAATAAGTTGCATCTAAATTTCCACATCTCCAACATTTGGGTTGTAAATTCGGGTACATGCGAGACAACTTTTGGGGATCCAAATGCCATCTATAAAACATTTTATAAAAATTTTCTCTTAAATTTTGCGCTTGAGTAAATTTTACATTTCTAACCCAGATTGTCTCCCATGTATCCAATAAAATCAGATCTTGAATATTTTGAGCCCATTTGACCATACAATCTTTAACTAACTCCGTTTCAGAGTCCAATTCTATTAAGGCACTATAAATTCTTTTTATATGAGCTCGACTTTGATGTTTAATCTGTTTTACCAAATTCACATCTTCTAAAGTGATACCAACCTTTTGATCTATACTCCACCTCACTAACAATTGATTATAATAAAACCAAGAATATACAATATTTTCTTGCTTCAACTCAGTTAAGGGCTTTAATTGCCAATGCTGCCCAACCAAACTAAGTAATTCCTTGTAAGAAATCTTATCCAAATTTACTCCCCTAGATATTCCCTCTATCACGTGTCCAGGAATCCCCCAAATTGGGATTTTATAATTTAACCTATAATAATATTTCTTCCAGACATGCAAGAAGGCACTTCTCAAAATATGGGTTTTAAAAACCTGATCAACTTTTTTATCATAAATTAAATGCACGTGCCATCCATATAATAAATCCCATCCCTCAAGGGAAAGAATATTTTTATTTGTTAAGTTGAGGCAATCACTAATCAGTGTTAAAGCCACCACATCATAGTACAATTTTAAATTAGGCGCTTTTAGTCCTCCTCTTTCCCGTGTATCCTGCATAATTTTGAATTTAACTCTCGGCTTTTTCCCTGCCCATATGAATTTGTTAATCCCCTTCTGCCATTCCTCCAGATTAGCATCTTTTTTCAAAATAGGTATCATCTGAAATAAAAAAAGAAACTTTGGAAGTATATTCATTTTAACTGCCGAGATTCTCCCCAACAAAGATAATTGTAATTTTTTCCAGTCGTTTAAGTCCTTTTGCACTTTTACCCATAATGTCTCATAGTTATTTTTATACAATTGAACATTAGAAGCTGTTATATATACTCCTAAATATTTAACCTTTCTCACTATTTCAAAACCTGTTAATTTAACCATAATATCCTTTTCCTTCATAGACATATTTTTCAATAATATTTTAGTCTTATTATTATTTACCTTAAAACCAGAAACCTTCCTGTACTGAATTAAAATTTCAACCAAATCCCTAACCGAATCTGTCGGTTGAGATAATGTCACAACCAAATCATTAGCAAAAGCTCTCAACCTATAATCATTCTTATTTATTTTTATTCCCTTTATACAAGGTGACTCCCGAATTTTGATAAGTAAAATCTCCATTGTTAAAACAAATAACAATGGTGATAAAGGACATCCCTGTCTTGTACCCTTTTCAATTTTAAACGCTTCTGTTAATCCCCCATTAACTATGATTTGTGCAGATTGTTGTTGATATATAGCCTTAAGGGCAGATAAAAATTTATCCCCAAAATTCATTTCCTATACTACTCTGAATAAGAATTGCCAATCTAATTGATCAAAAGCTTTTTCAGCATCTAAAAAAATCAAAGCTGCGGGGATTTGATTGTTCTTGTCTAAATAGTCAATTAGATTAACAATTTGTCTAACATTATATTTCATATATCTTCCAGTTATAAATCCAGATTGATCACTATGAATCAATTGCTTCAAAACTCGCATTAATCTATTTGCCAATATTTTTGAAAAAATCTTATAATCTGTATTCAAAAGAGATATATGTGTGTGCTTATTTATACACAACACACATATATATGCAGGTATTATATCAGATTGTAAAATGCTATAGATTATAATGCACAAAGACTTGATTATTTTAACTGAATTATGAATGAAGATATCATAAAGAGCCAAAAGTGCAGAATAATAATAAACTAAATCTTTCCAATCCAGTCCCATCTGAGATAGTCATAGGATTTTTTTTCTTTACTATGTCCTTGAAAATTTTTTTTAGAAAAATTTGATATATAGCAAATATATCAAAGACCCTTTTATAGTGTACCTAGCATATGATCCCACACTTAATTAGATAGCAATAGAGATTCCAACTACTAGAGCCAGAGGTTTTATTTAATTTTAAAATAGATTCTTCCTTTTATAATTGCCTTTGGTAGACAACAGATTACCAACTAGCCTTGGTTTGGATTAATGAGTCATCTTCCTAGGGTTTTTTTTTTCTCTTTACCTAGGAAATTATTATTTTTGGTATACAAATATATCAAATAAGAATAACCATGTAGTTTTCCCAACTATAGGGAAAAAACACTACAGTTCTATAAATCACAATCAACAAAATATAATTTTTAAAAATAAAATGTTCATAAATATTATTTATGAAATATTTCATTTTCGTTTTTGCCTTTAAAGTATCTGAAAAGTTCAGGCAAAATCTAACCAATCAAAAACCTAAATCTCAAAATTCAAACATTGGTATAGAATGTTTGCAGTAAAGCAAAATAACAGTGCTGACTGGTTTACACACCGTGTATTTTTGTCTTTTTAAGATGTTGTTCCTCGGATCCTTGCCCCTCGTAACCAGCTGATCAAAGTGATTCAGAACAACCGGACTCTTCTTGACTGTCCGTTCTTTGGATCCCCAATCCCCACATTACGATGGTGAGAATTTTATTATTACCACAGCATCTTTTTAATATATATCTGTTTTTTACCTTATTTATATTACTGTTAATAAATAACACATTTTTTTAAAAAAATTAGCAGATTTCCAAGTTATTAATATTCATTGGAAGGAGAAGGTAGCCATTATTAAAAGTAGATATACTTTATCAAGATTTATATATCCTTCAAATAAATCATAGACCAGTTGGAGAAGCTGAGGGAGAAATTCCTTTAGTGCATGAGTGTCCAAAGTTTTGGCTTGTCTGGGCCACTTCAAATGAAGAAGAATTGCCTTGGGTCACATATAAAATATATAATATCATTAATGTATATAAATCACATAATAATGTTAAAAGTTTATGATCTTGTGAGGCCACATTACTAACTATCTAGGGCTTCATGCAGACTGTGGGCCATGGGTTGGACCCACCTGTTTTAGTGGTCTGCATACTGAATATTTAAAATGATTTATTCTTGTTTCATGAGGTTTAAGAATGGCCAGGGAAGTACACTGCATGGTGGCAACTATAAAGCACATGAGAATGGAACTTTGGAAATCATCAGGGCTCGGAAAGAAGACCAGGGAACTTACACCTGTGTGGCTACCAATCTTCTGGGCAAAGCACAGAACCAGGTTCGTTTGGAAATAAAAGGTAAGGTGGCTTCTGCTTCAGCAAACCACAAGTATTTTCCAAATAGTGGGGAGAGATGCTTTTTCCATCCATAGCATATATCCCAAGTATAAAGAAAGTGTGATGTTTAGTGAAGCTTAAGTTGGAAATTGGAAAGAACAGGAATAATGCACATTAAATTACAGCTAAATGGATCACTCCAATTATAAGTTCTATAAACCTTTGCTACTTGTTGAACACTGGACCAAAGATCCTCAAACTTGCATTATCCAGTCCATGGATACTCATGAGAGAATAAAAGGAATGCAGAAAAGGAAGAAGAAGGAGGAGGAGGAGGAAGAGAAGGATATATATATATATATATATATATATATATATATATATATATATATATATATATATATATATAGTCTGTGGTTATTTGGGTTTTCTCCCACGTAAATGGATTCCAAAGAAATAAGATTACCAACCTAATCCAAAAAGAAACCCCCACTAAAATCCAAGACAGAGAACAAGAAAATGGCAAAGCCGTCCTCCCATACATAAAAGGCACCACAGACAGAATCAGCAAGACCCTCCACAAACACAGCATCAAGACAGCATTCTGCACAAACAGAAAAATATCCACCATCCTAAGAAACCCCAAAGACAAAACTGAGTTAGAAAATCAAGGAGTATATGAAATCCCATGCACCGCTTGCCCCACTACATACATCGGACAAACCAACAGAAGAATAAGTGCATGTATTGAGGAACACAAGAACTCAAATCAAAAAAGAGGAACCAACTTCTTCCCTGGTCCAACACCTTAAAGCCACAGGACATGAAATTGACTTTAAAAAGACCAGAACTATCGCCAAAACTGAACACTTTAATAACAGAATAATCAGAGAAGCCATCGAAATAGAAAACTGCCCACAGAGCATGAATAAACGAGATGATACCTCCCACCTACCAGCCATTTGGAAACCCGCCCTTATTGACAAACGAGTCTCTAACACAAAGAATGACACCAGACCCACACTCACAAAAACCACACAGGATGTCACCACCACACATCCACACAAAAAGCAAACCCAAACCCACACCGATGATGAGGCACAACCACAAACCAGAAGCCAGACACAGCTGCATCATTAGCCACTTTAAACCCCTACATACATGAAGCAAACTGACACCCACCATGAAGATGAGGCACGACTACGAACGTGAAGCCAAACAACAGCAATGCAGCTCACCATCTCACATCGCCCTGCAACTCAGACTAACCCAAGCACAACAAAGCCCCCACCCAAACAAAACACTCCCCCAGCCAATCAGAGCACAGCCAAGCCCCTAACCAATTAGAACACACCTCCACCCAATCAAAACACAGCCAAGCTCCCACCCAATCAGTTCATACCCCCACTGGCAGTTAAAAGGCAGAAACAGCTACGAACACACATTGCTCCTAGAAGCATGAAGCTGAAAGCTTTGCTCCTCGAAGCACGAAGCTGAAAACACCAGCCTGAAGATGACGAATGGGACTTCATCGAAACGTTGCCAACACACTTCCAATTTTACGCGGGAGAAAACCCGAATAACCAAAGACCATACAAACAGCCGCAAAAACCTCAGAAAATGTGTGTGTGTGTGTGTGTGTGTGTGTGTGTGTGTGTGTGTGCTCATCTGAGCAGATGCTGTGAATTGCAGAGAAGGATTATGCAAGAGCAGCAAAGAATTCTTACTGGTTTATCTGAAAGGTTGGTTACCTATTGACTGTGTCGTTGTCTTACTAATTTGGGGTGAAACCTATTGCCATCTGTGGGGTTGGATCTCTTGAGCTGAAATACACCTCCAAGGTTCTAGGGTATGCATTAAAATATGTCTAGTGAATATAAGAAGGATTGCAGGGTCTAGCAGTGGATTTATAAATATCACAGAAAATAAATGATAGAAATGGAGATGTTTCAAGATTTATCGTCATTTATTCCTTGATGAATAAAGCAACAGTAGACAATCTGTCAGTGTTATATTCTTTTATTAGATTCTATTTCCTGGTGCCTAAACTAGCCTCCCCTAACTTCATTCCCTTCAAACATCTTGAAGAGATTAGTTTGAGGAGTTGTAATAAATTAAACAATTCACTAATAATCCTAGGCTACTACTTAACTCTTTGCAGATCCCACTAGGATCACAGAGGGACCCAAAGATGCTATACCAAAGAAAGGTTCCACGATTCACTTAATGTGCCTGACAAGACATGACCCCACATTACGGCTTACAGTTACCTGGCTTAAAGATGATATTCCCCTCTACTTTGGAAACAGGTCAGTTTTATCGTTCTTTTATATTTCTCAAAATTTTAGCCTATTGAGCTTCTCTAGGATACAAGTAATTATTATAGAATTTTCCCATTTTGATTGTGAAAATTACATCTATTGCTATTTTAAAGAAGAGTAAATTGATGATGGAAAAATTGTAATAGCAAAAGCCAGGTTTTTTTTTTACAGAAATAGGAGCAATAAATAGCTGAAAAAATGTTGGATATCTGTAGGTTAAAAATTATATTCTAAAATTAATGATTTTTTTTCACCAGACATTAACTGATTCTTTTACTTCATTTAAAAACACCACTTACTTCTGAAAAAACATGTTTATGTCTATATGTAATTCTTTTTAAATACTACATTTTTGATGCCTTCAATTTTATCTTTGTCATTTAAAATAGAGAATGTATTATATTTCTCTCCAAAACAGTAAAATATGTTTTCTAAACTGAGCTTGTTGGTTTGTAACTTTAAAACTAAGCCATTTTTTTTTTAAGTTATCTACTTGGTAAAAATTAAGTAACACTTTTCTTTTTAAATTCTCAGAAGTTCAGTCTCTTTAATGAAAGTTAATGAGCTTTTATTTATCAGGCTGAAACTGTTTTCAGGTCATAAAAAAAATCTCAGAAAACATATCAACATAATTAATTAATTAATCAATAGCTGTCATTGATCCATTCCTGCTTTTCTAAGAGAGGTGTGTTCCCATAGTGTTTTTACTTGTAATGCTTCTCCACTGAAAGGATGAAGAAAGAAGAAGATGGTTTGACTATACATGGAGTATCAGAAAAAGATCAAGGATATTATACCTGTGTGGCTAGCACTGAACTAGACAAGGATGTTGCCAGAGCCCATCTCACTGTACTTGGTAAATCTTTCTTTCAAATGTCTTGAATTTAAGGTGCATTTTAAGTATTATAGACCACTTATTTAGGCAAAAGTTATGACTTGTTTCCCTGGATTATAGAAGATGGAATATACAGCAAAAAAGAAACAATCTTAATTCTTTTAAAAATAGAATATTCTATTAACCACGTTCAACTGGCTGACTTATTTTCATTATTTACCGATTTAAAATAATCCTGCTTGAACACAATAATTATGAGTCCTAACCGTGAAAAATGAAGATGTGTCTCTCAAAACTAATCAAACACAGTAGTTCCTTTATATTTCAGTCTTCTCTGTAAGCTAGTGAGAGATGCAAAAAATAATTTAAATATGTTTAGGAGTCTCTTCAAAGTACTGGTTTGATTTAAAACTTAATTTAAAATATGGGTTAGTCATCCTTTTGTCTTTGTACCAGGTTTTTTGTTTGTACAACCCTTTGTCTTTGTACAAGAGTTTGAATATGTGCATGTACATTTATTTGATGTACCCTTTTACCTAAACTGACTGATAACAAAGGAACACATATATTTCATTTCTTTCCTTTCCTCATCTTTATCCCTTTCAGCAATTCTGAGTTCTCACTCTCATTATCAGAAGATATAAGCTATGTTGTTCCCACCAGCCAGATGATCAAACAATGTGTTACTGGTTAGAGGCCAGGTTGCTTGGTTTTATGCCACAGGAAACCCGCAATCTGTTTTCTGTCAACCAAAAGAACCCCATAAAAGCTATACTATAATTCTTCAATTACTTATGCTTAACTATTGACCCTAACTCTCTAAACAGCTAATATCTTACTTTGCAGCTCCTTCTTCTGTTAACCGTATGACCCCACCCGCAGGTAATCAGTACTAATCCATAAATCTCTTTGATATTTTTTTTGTTGCTGCTTATTCATTGCAATAACTTTAAAGTTCTACTGAAAGTATAACTAGGGTTGGGCTACTCATCCCTCAGCAGTAGTCATACCTGCCGTAAGTGGGAAGAGGTCTTGAATTCTGTTGTACAGCTTGCTGTGTAGAGTGTAAAAGTAAATGAACCTACTACTAGGAGTCATTAAACTATGACTTAGTTTAGGCTACTAGGATGAATGTACAATTCTGATATTGACAATGATTTTTCTCTCTTCCCTGTATATGCATTTACTTTAAGTTTTCTTGTTTGTAGCATGGAGATGACAAATTTTTATCATCCTTTTCAATCCATATATTTTGCTGGATCTCCAAAGCAAAGATAGCTTTGCTTTGGAACTGTAATGCCAATTGCAAATGTGTGTGGGGGGAATGATTCTCATAATTGTTGCAGCATGAAGAAGTTGCCTGCTTCCCATGCTAGAGCTAGATTCAGAAAGGGCTATTAGTGGTATTTTTAGAATGTGCAAAACTTTTTCAAATTCAGACTGTTTTGCAGTTAGAACAAGGCACATTTTGAAAGCATTTCAAATTTTGAGCCACTCTGACTCAGATTCAAAACACTAAATGTTTCAAATTCAAAAACAATTCCAAAATGCTTAAAACATCCAGTTTGGGATGGGAAAGTGGGAAGTTTTAAATTTGAAACAGTTTTAATTTAAAATGTTTTCCACATCCCTATATAGTTGATAAAGAGAAATGAAACAGATCCATAAGGGCGGATCACCAATGATGCTGCAATAGTAACAGCCATTTGATTTTATATTAAGAGGCATCTCTTATTTGTTCAGACTTCTGAGAAATAAAAACATATTTTTGTTTTATAATCTTATTAGGCAAATTTGTGCCATGTATTTTAGTATGTTCTTATTTAATTATATTTGTAGCAATTTCAAGTTCTGTTCTTTACATTTTTTTTTCTTACTTCCATGTATCAGAGTAACAATCCCTAAATATTCTTACCAGTTATTTCTCTAAAATCTAAAACTGTCTCTAAATGATTGGTTCTAAAACCCTTATTCTGATGGTGGCGAGCCTTCAGCCTCATTTATCCATGCCACAGAATTATATAAAATTTGAAACAAAGAATGGTTTTAAAGGTTGCCAGGTGGATGCCATTTTGCACTATTCCCCTATAAAATTCTCTCTGAAAAAAAAGTAGCATATCCTGGAGAATTATCTACTCAGACTATTTTTTATGTGAGAGTGAATTCTATACTGTAATTAGTATCAGTCTGAAGTGGTGTCATTTGTTTTGATATCCAGTTCCCATCTTTTTCTGTGACAAGTTTAGACTTGACCCTATTATCATGTACAACATAGAGACATGAACCTTAATGGAAAGCCTAAAAGGATTGGGACCTTCATTATTTATTAGAGAAACTTATATTTTGCATATTGTTTTGCTGGTAGCACGTCCAGAACGTCCCCGTGACCTTGAACTAACAGACCTTGCTGAAAAGAGTGTGCGGTTAACTTGGATTCCTGGTGATGACAACAACAGTCCAATCACAGGTGAGTGAAATGATACCATTCATGCTTTGTTCATTGTTTGTATTTCAAGATAAGCCTACTTACCAGTAATTGCATAGCAAATTAGGGGATCCCACATTTCTGTCTTCTAGATTATATTGTGGAATTTGAGGAGGATAAATTCCAACCTGGAACTTGGCATAACCATTCCCGTTACCCAGGAAATGTGAACTCTGCCATCTTGCGCCTTGCACCCTATGTCAACTATCAGTTCCGAGTAATAGCTGTGAATGATGTAGGAAGCAGTTATCCCAGTCTGCCTTCTGAACGATACCATACAAATGGGGCACGTAAGTACTAACTGGCTGAATTCATGTATACCCTTAGAATGAAAAGAAAGCTTTAAAAAAGTCTGAAATGACTATGCAGACACAAACATGGCAGATTTAGCAAGTGGTAAATACTCCTGAGAAAGAGGCTTATTTGCAAATACATTATACTATTCCATTGTTAGATGTACATGAAAAACTTTTTTGCTAATGTATGAAATTTCTCTGAGAGATTCAGTAGTTTACCAAGTATCTTCATGCTGGTCATTTTTCTGATTGTAATATCATCAATTAAGTGTACACTTGGAATTTGAGGTTTAGGATTGAAACAATAAAATATTGTAAATCTCATGTCCAATAATACAAATACATTTTCCTTGTCAAATTGATCCTGTTTCATTCTGTACTCCATTTTCAAATTATTAAACACCTGGAGATAATGGATATCAGAACCGTAGTAGCTGAAATGGTTGCTTAACTTATTCTTTTATTGAAAGCAACTTATACTGTCTAAATGACTGGCTTCTGGATTTTATGTGTAATTAAAAATATATGGGTTGCGTAAATGCATCGGCACTGTATTCCAGATTTTCTGTCTATAAACAATGGGGTATTGCTTAAAAAGATAGAGACAAATATTATTGTTTGCTCCGTATTTACCTTTATTTCAGGCCCAGAATTTAACCCTTCAGGAGTTAAAGGAGCAGGAACAGCAAAAAATAATATGGTTATATCATGGACGGTGAGTTATCCTGAGAGAAGTTACTTGTTTATAACATGTGCATTTGTACCATAAGTTATCTTCATTCCAAGGCTTTTCTACAAAGTGTGGTATTAAAACATATCACCAAGAATGGTGGCACAAAGGAGAATCAAAATATATTGTTCTAGGCTTTATATGCTTTACAACATAGACCAGGGGTCTTCAAACTTGGCCCTTTTATGACTTGTGGATGTCAACTCCCAGAATCCCTCAGCCAGCATGTTGTTATTTATTGTCTTTCCATAATGACTCCAAATACTATACAATTGATTTATAATCTTAAGAATAATAGTGTGGTATTGAATATTAAAGCACTATAAAAATTCATATCACTACTAAAACATAAAAGAAAAAATAAAAGGCAAGCCTTAATTTGTATCTAAAATAAACCATTTTTCTTTGTATATACTCTTTTTAATGCAATTTTAATACTTTATTTTATATGTAACTTTCTAACTTTTTATATATGAAGCCTTTTAACTCAATATTTGAGCCAAGATATATTTTGAGACAAACATTTGCAGATTATGTGAATTGGGTTCCTTCCTGTGGTCCAGTGAATTCCAATTTGGCAAATCAGCCAAATTTTGCCTGACTAATTTCTTTTGCATTCAAAGTTAACCTGTTTTTAGACCTTTTGTGGTGCTGAATCTCCAACAATCATATATAAGATCTTGAAAGAGATAAGTTATCCAGGGTTAGCCCCTGATATTCTAAGTCATAATTGTCTTCATTCTTTCATTCTCTAGCCATTAAATGCAACTCAAGTGTATGGCCCCAATCTTAGATACATTGTGAAATGGAGAAGAAGAGACACACGGGAGAGTTGGAACAACCGAACTGTAAAGGGTGATGTCAGTCAGTATACCGTCGCACCAACACCCATCTATACACCATACGAGATCAAAGTACAAGCTTTAAATGATTATGGGATTGCCATGGAACCAGACATCGTAATTGGCTACTCAGGGGAAGATTGTGAGTATTCCCATAGTCTGAGAAAATTGGAAATAGAGAAGGCAGATTGCATTTACTTCTTACTTGTTGGTGATAAACAGCATCCTTTTAATACTAGATCTCTCATGATTAGCATTTTGCCAAAAGGGGTATTCAAGTGCAGCAACAGGTATTATTTTGCTCAGAATGAAATGAAAATGTTCGAAATATCTTGTATGCTTTGTCTTTTCACAAACCACTGGCATCAATACCCATACATTCACTGTTTTTGGAAATTCTTTTTTTCTGACACATCTTAACTTTTACAAACATTAAGAACTTTTCTTTGCATTTAAATATATTCAGTGCAGTTGACTGAAATATGCCTATAATAAATAATTCAGGAGATAAGCTACCCAACATTGTGTGGTTAAATAGTATTTAGGTTATGGAAATGAAACTAAAACTGAAATATTAATTGAAATACTTTGGGGTTTGTATCCAATTCTGGCATCTGCCAATAAAAGAAGTACTTCATTTTCTGTTTTCCAAAACTGTTCTGGCAATTTGAGGAATCCTTCAGAGTAATTATGGAGATCACAGGGGTTTCAGTCAAAGAAGGAAAAGAGAAAAATCTCAATATGCAAGCGGAAGTCTATTTGCATAACATGGTATATAACATGTAATTTGGACAACTAAGGTAAGTTGTTAGGAAAATAATAGTAAAATTGGTACAAATAAGAGAGGTAAAAATAAATAAACTGATTTAGTAAATAGAAGAGATAGGATGCTGTAGTATCTAAAGCATTGGATTCATATAGTAAAGATTTGGACTTAGTACCAATTCAACTCTGTATCTTATCTTGGATAATTTATTTTTTTACCTAAATGACTTGGAGGAATGTATTATCTTTAATAGGTCCTAAACAGTGGCTCTATAATCTAATATTTAAAAATGGTTGTAGTCTTTCTGGAATGCAAATGCAAGTGTCAGATTACAGACATTATGGATAATGGGTTGGGCAAGTGGGCATGATACCTTTTTCTAATTTCTTTTAACTCTCTTCCTTCTAAAAATGATCAGAATAGTTAACTAAATAATATTTGGGCAGCTGCATTCCAAGTTAGCTCTACTTAGAGTATGATCCAGTAATCCAGTTATAAAATTATTAAGGAATTACTATTGAGGCTACAATATCTCTGTTCAGATAGAGATGTAATTCCACACCAACTGAAGCTAGGAGAAAGCCCTCTTAGCCAATAAGGCTGCCCAGACTTTATTCACTATACAGCATTTTTGGAGGGAGCATGGTTCATCAACATGCATGTAGATTAAAAGAGGACTAGTTGTGGAATTAAATCAATTGGTCATTGAGTACCTACTGCAATAAGATTCTTATATACTTTGACATACTAAGATACTTGCTGAACTTATGGTAGATCAACCCATCTGAGTTTATGAGATCAGTTTTAGTTACTGTAGCCTGTGAATAAGAAGCTTGTGGGATCCAACTGTCTTGACTCTAGCCCATCATGACTATTGCAAGAGTCTCTCATTGCGTCCAGAGAGTGCTCGTGGCTCTTTCTAATACACATTTGGAAAGAAAAAAATACAGGTAAGAATAGGAGGTTGGTGGAAAGCCCTGCTTTCCTGTTTCACACAACAGATTATGACCGCCCATTATGAAATGTGGGACAATATGAATAAGCACTGCTATTTCAGGACCATAGACAGCACAGTCATAAAAGCAAAGTTTCTTTTAAGGCTTTTATCAGTTTGCATGATTACAATGAAGTTTCTTTTGCCTTAATAGATCTTCCTTCCTTCCTTCCTTCCTTCCTTCCTTCCTTCCTTCCTTCCCATAATCAGTTTCAAATATATATGTTGTATCTTTACAATTAATAGAATGATTTATGATTATGATATAAAATTCAGGTATATGAACAAATCAATACAAAGTTTATGAAAAATATGGGATTATGAATTAGTATGTTGGTAAAAATACAAGATTGCCTTCAGAAAAACAAGGAAAGAAAATAGTTGGTGGGAAAACTATTCTTAAAGCTTCTTTCCTTTGGATGCAAGACATCACACAGTTTTCGTTAAGAGCATTCAGCAGCTCTTAACGAGAGTTCAGTAAAATAAATAGCAATGTTATTTCTTGTTTTAACTAAGTAACATGTGTAGAGCATTACATAGGAAATAATATAATATGGTGTTCAGGTTGCTCTTGTATGCTTGAGTACATATTGAATATTTCATAGCAGATTGCAAAATAAAGTACTGAAAACTGTCAAAATTTAAAATAATGCTATCTTATAATTGGATTTCTATACATGCGCATTTAGGCTGTCATATTGAAAATGGGGGGAGGGGGTGTCAGAACCATGTTCTTTTTAAAAGTTTCCATTCCCATGACTTTCCTTCCCTTACTCAGTGATGATGTTCTATTCATCTTTATAAGAATTTTGGATGGTGAAGTGTGTGATGCCATAGAAGGGGTTTTAAAGTTTGGGGTTGGAGTTTCTACTAATAACATTAATTCTGTGAACCTGTTATAAGTACTATAATAATGTGATGTCAATAGTGAATTGAAAAAAATGATGGTAGGATTAGTGCCGCCACCATACCAAAACTGTGTGAATGTGAAATTACTTTCTATGTCCATGAGATGGCAGCATTGTCTGTTTGACAAAATATTACAAATACTTAAGACAGTGATAAGAAACAACCTTCTGCAGCTTAAAAAAAATAGTTTTCTTTCATATTTAGTTTTTTTTTTTCAGGTATTGTTGAATCGTTAATTTCTGCTTTGCTTTGTTCCTTACACTTAGATCCTAAGGCTGCCCCTACTGATATTAGGCTCAAAGTTGTAAACAGTACAGCAATCAGCCTTCAATGGAGTAAAGTGTACCCAGAAACCATCCAGGGACAGCTCAAGGAATATAGAGTGAGCACAAACAAATCCCAATAATTTTGGTACTATTAATATGGCTAACCCTTGTCACTAATGATAACTGATGAGATTATCTATTGCACATAGTAAAACGGAGATGACACAAATGATCTAAAAACTGCTGAAAGACATGGAGACCATTTGTAAGAAGATGGTATTTACAGCAAAGAAAACATATATCAAATTCAGATCCAAAAGAATTTTTTCTTTTAGTTTCAGAGAAATATCATTACTCAATAATAGTGCATCTTTTAATTACAGCTACCTTCTACCAACTGTTTTCTAGATAGTCCAGAAATATAATTCAATCAATCAGAATAGAGCTGGAAGGAACCTTGGAGATCTTCTAGTCCAGTGGTTCTCAACCTGTGGGTCGGGACCCCATTTGGGGTCGAACGACCATTTCACGGGGGTCGCCAAACAAGGCTGTCCGCCATTTTTTTCCCTTTTCTTTGGCCACACCCCTGGCACCTGGTGATGTATAAGTGGTTGGGGGTCACCACAACATGGGAAAATGTATTATGGGGTCGCAGCATTAGAAAGGTTGAGAACCACTGTTCTAGTCCAACCCCTTGCTCAAGGAGGAGACCCTGTACCATTTCAGAAAAGTGATTGTCCACTCTCTTCTTTAAAACCTCTCAGAATTCACAGTTATTTTGCCTGAGAAGTCTAGAAGTTGTAGCTACAAATGTGGAGAAGAGTACATATGCACTAATTATATCTAAGGCAGATGTGTCCGTTTTTACTGCAAATATGTTAGAACAATATTTTTCTTGGGCTCAGTGCTGAATTGGGAAGGGGAGGCAGGTTTCAAGACTTGACAGTCAAATTAATTTTCGTCTTTTGTCAGGAAGAAAGCTGGGATGATTTAGCAGTGCTCATTTTAATATTTTGGTGAATTTTTGCAGTCTTACCTCATTCAACATGATACGTTTTAATTCAGCTTTGGACTTATAGGATTGAGTGTTTTTGTTTCAAAGCTTCATAGTCTCATTTTCCCAGCGTTTAGTATAATTTTTCTTTATTGAATGTTACATTTTTAAAATCTTATTTTCATGCATAATACTACTCTAGTATTGCAAAATGTTTTTTTTGCCACCTGAAGGCAAAATTATACATTCAAAAAGTAAAGAATTGATGAAACTTTTTATGAAACATCATAATTTGGTCCATTTAGCCAAACACACACATTCTCCATCTGTATGATCTATATATCTGTAGTTTTAACCATCTGATAATTGATTGGTTTGGAACAAAAGGGCAATTCAGAGTAGCTGCTGTGCTGTACACCTCTTCAGTTGACAATACAGAACTGGTTTCTTCTTTGTTGTGAAGTTCCTGAATTTGGCTTGTTATTCTGAATAAGAAAAGTAGCTTTTCAGATGGTTTCCCAACTTTTGTGTCATCCCTCATGTGCATTTGGCATGTTTTATTAATCAACATTTGAACATTCTATTTTGGCCTAATTAAAATTTAATAAATATGCTAACTGAAGAATGATCTCCCAAAACAGTAGCAAATGGGTTTTATCCTGATGATTGTGTATACAACTTTTAAAAAGCAGCCTTTGTCAAATTAACAAAAAGCAACAGACAAATAATCCAAAAAACAATTTTAAAAGCCTTGTTGGAACTGTGGCAAAGGCATACTCTTTCCCTAATTTTCTCCCACCCTGGTTCCTCAGATGTATTGGGAGTTCAGCTTCCAGAATTCCCAGCCATCAAAGCCAATTGCTTAAAACAGGGCTTTTCAACCAGTGGTACGGATACCACCTGTGGTACATTGGCACCTGGCAGATGGTACGCGACCATCCTAGAAAAGTGGTAGTGGGGGGAGGGGAATGAGCTGAACTGGTGGCAGCACTGCACAAGTCTGAGCGAGAAATGGCTGGAGCTGCAGGGCTGTCAGGGCTCAGCGGAAGCGCCAGGATCAGTGCCAGACTCCAGCTGGGCCCAGAAGAAGCACCAATCAGCTGGAATGCTGCAGCATCTCCAGGGTCTTGTGATTTACATTCAGATGCTTGGCAACTGATTCATATTTATGATGGTCACAGTATCCAAGGGTCATGTGAAGTGACCAAAACCTGCTGCAACCACCCAGCAGACAGGGGGAATAAAAACAACCCCCCCCCCACTCCTACTGCCAATCCTCAACAGAAATGCTCACAACAATGAAAACCTTGGACAGGAAGAAGAGTGCCGCTGGGTGGGCAGGCAGGTGTCTTGCTTGTGGCTTGGGGGGCACTTTTTTCAGTGCCATTGTAACTTCAAACAGTCACTAAGCGAACTGTTTTAAGTCGAGGACTACCTGTACTTTTATCACTTTTTTCCTTTTTTTTTTTTGTCATCAAGTTTTTGACACCTTGCTAGGCAACTGGTGGTACTCAGATATTGCCATATCCTAAAAGTGGTACAATGGGTGAAAAGGTTGAAAAGCCCTGGCTTAAAACACCAGATGAGAGAAATCTATTCTAATACATTTTCCAATCTGAACACTTTCTTTCGCAGGATATTCTTTTTGCATCTTTTTCTTCCCATACCATTTATATCTCAAAATTAATGGACTCTTACTGGCCACAAGTGAACTTGGACAGACAACATTTTGTTGCCTAACTATGAAGTCATCAGTGAGAGGAAGGAAGAATGAACATTGTGAAGGCTGAAATTCCGGTCTAGCTTTAGGGGCAGGGGAAAGAGGTCGTTGTTATCCTAGTAGTGTGACTTTATGTTGTCAGTTTCCTTCTCCCTTGTGGAATGACATTCGTGCTTGAGCTAATTCTTGTGTGAAAGCTGAAAATGCACAGGTATATTTTCAATAACACCAAACAAGAGAAGCTTTATTTGCCTTACCTGTTTCTTGAAGGCTTATTACTGGAGAGAAAGTAGTTTGCTGAAGAATTTATGGGTCTCTAAGAAAAAGCAGTCTATGGGTTTTATTGGAGAACGGACACGGGGCATAGTGTCCCAGCTGTTTCCTTACAGCAACTACAAATTGGAGATGGTTGTAGTCAACGGGAGAGGAGATGGGCCTCGGAGTGAAATTCTGGAGTTCACAACACCTGAAGGAGGTAGGTTCCTCCCTAATATTTACACAGCTTTGTAGAATCCATCATTTTCATGTGTGAAACATGAAGATAACTAGGAATTTCTGTTAACTCAATTTGGTGGAATAAGGAACAAAGGAATAAGAGTCTATTGTAGACCTACCATTCAAAAACTATAAGATAGCAGCAAAAAGAAATTAAAAACTCTATATCTTTTTGTTGCCTTTCTAATGGTCATCTAGATTTTTGTACCCAAAATATCATAGCTCTGATCTGGGCATATGCTTCAAAGTCATAAGTATTTGGTGGGCCCTGTGTTAAGTAAGAAAGTGACTAATATTCTGATATAATTGTAGTGACTCCTAAAGTAACTGAACTGCATATAGGGTAAAAATACTTTAGTACTTTTAGTCAAGAATTCTTTCTGGTTATATCTCTTGAAAAGTGAAATTTTAGTATAAAATAGCATCTGTTTTTCCAGTGGAAGAACCACTATTGCAGAACAGATTCTGCCTTATCTTTACTATCCTCTCGGGCCCACAAAATGTAAGCTTGGAAAACAAGGCAAAAGAGAAGAAGTTCTACTGTAGAAGGAGTCTGCTTATACAATGCCAGATACGATCATTATTAAATTTATATGCTACTCCTTTTATCAATAATGCGACTTTGGGCAGCACTTCCTCCTCAGAGCTCTTTGAATTTGATTACTAGGCAAGTAATCTAGTAATCCATTACTTTGAAGCCAGGTTTATGCTCAGTTAATAAACAATTTAATACATCAGATAGAAGACTAAGCTAAAGCTGCTATTCTCTGGTCATATATTCTTATGATATGATCTGACACTCTTCATTAGGGTTGAACAGAGATTGTCTATCTGGTTCAGGGGGCTGATGCAAAATTTCAGAAGTGGCTCAGCCCATGTTGGATTTTTCTGGAACTCAACATGGAGCGAGAATTGGAAAAGGAGACTTCCCGCATAAGGAAAAGCATAAACACCTCAGCTGAAAGTGATAGCATTTGTAGGACAACTACAGATTTCTAATTAAATGTACAATTTTTAATAGAAATTAGTATTTTGGAGCATGTACAACAAGTTGTTGAATGGTAATGTTTTTTTTCCTGAATATGGTGAAGCTTACTCTATGAATAGAGACAGATTTATATAGAATTTACCTATGGATTTTCTCATTAAATAAATCAGTCACTAGACTACGAAAGCTCAGAAAAGTCCATCACACAACTAATCAGGACAAGAGAATGATGCTTATATAGAGAGCTAAGTTATAAAACAAACTAATGGACAACCCATTCCAGAATGTCTCCTGTATCACTTAAAAGATTGACATGGTTACCCTAATAGCAAGGATCGGTCTCACTGAAGGTAGAGAATCAGGGAGATTACCTTGTGAGAATTAGACAAAAAACATTACATAAGCAAAGAGTCCTAGGAAATAAGATAATAATTGGAAGAGACTTAGGAAGACCCCTCTCTGATTCCTTGGAGTATAAGAAGGGAATGGTAAAGCACAATTAGCCTATAACATTCTGGTGTTATAATCTATCTCAGCTTCTAGTCTTCCTGTGAATCTGTTTCCTACTTTGGTCTACCCAGAAAGCTAACATCAATCTTGCCAAGTCTTTTTTCAGATGTGCTCAATGACTGCAGTCTCTTTCTAACATATCCTGTTGCTTCATTTTGGCATCATCATGAATGGCTTTTCAAAGTGATTAGCTTGAGTTCATCAGACATGTCATGAATAAAAAGTGACCTTTATTGCTCAGTGTTGAGTATCATAATTCCTATTCTGATAGGTTTATTTTTGTTCAGCTTAAGAAGCAGAATTGGCTTCATTGTAGAAAGGATAAACGTTCAATTTAATAAACAGATGTGATGAAAGCCACTTACCCAACTGATTAACCCTATAGTTCTAAATGGGAGATAAGAAGTTTGGCTTTTGAGCTCAACATAATTTATAGCTGACAATTTCATCCTCATTACTATTTAGGTCACTAGCACACCATACACTCATATTACATCCACTACATGGTTATACATGAATGCAAAAATAAAACAATAACATGGATATCCTTTGCAGAATATGCAGACGTGATTGTATTCATTAAAACCACATGGAAATTGTTATGTGGTTTTAATAAGTTCCATTTATGCCACCTATACCAAATATTTATATGTACACAGCCTGCATTTTAGATTTTGTTACCTGATATATTTTTTTCCTCCCTTCTCTCTCCAAAACTATATTCCACTAAAGTATCCAGTACCCCAAGGCATTTCCGAATTCGTCAGCCAAACTTGGAAACTGTCACCTTGGAATGGGAACATCCTGAACATCCCAATGGCATTCTTATTGGATACAGTCTTAGATACCAAGCCTGTATGTCCCATGCTCATTTTTCTGATTGTTGCTTTGCTTTTATTGTTTTATTAATCAATCTTTCGGGGTTGAATCCTAATGCAACAGTATTCCTTAGGAGTCATTGTGAGGAAACACATTTCTCTTAACTGGTAATTTTCAACTTTGCTAAAAGTTGCTTACATAAATGCTTCAAGAATGTGATTCATTTGTCTTTCAATGAATGTGATTTCCTAAAATTTCCTACTCCTGTTAGGAGATACATGATAAATTTCATATTTATACAAATAATTCTTTATAAAAATACATTAACAAATTCCTTGAAGATTCTTATACATCTAATATTAGCTTCTAGTTGCATAATAGTTACTATTTAGTTTTTCTCACATTTCCCAGTAGTTTTTGGTTTTTTTAATTTTATTATTATTATTATTATTATATTAATTCAATTTGTATTATCTTAGCAAAAGTCAGGGCCTCTGTTGGATGCTATCTTAGGATAAGAGGTGGTCAAATGTGTAGCTTAGCATGTTTCTCAAAACAAGACTGAAGCATACACAGCCTGCCTCTCTCTTCAGTTAACGGATCCAAAACTGGCAGAACAATGGTAGAGGTCTTCTCTCCTAATCAGACAAAGTTTTTACTTCAGAGGACGGATCCTATCTCACGCTACAGGTTCAATCTGCGTGGCAGGACACAGATTGGAGAAGGTGAGCCTGCCACAGGGGAATCTCCAATTCCACTGAATGAAGGTAAGTAATATATATGCAGAGGCAGCTCTTCGGTGAGAGGGATGAGGAGCTGGAGGTGTGAGTGGTGTTGAAAACTTTTTGAAATATATAGGTGACAACTGATAGATTGATATGTGAGGTTTGGACCTGGTATGTTGTGGGCACGAATCCTGTACAACCATTTTGTGGGCATGAATCCTGTACAACCATTTGTTTAGTTTCTGAAAATTACTGAATAAATGCTTAAGAGAACAAATTATGAAGAGACTTAACTGGGTATTTTAAATAATGCAACCAACATAAGGAGTAGGAGACTAGGATGTGCTACTTAGACAAGGAGGAGTAGATGCAGAGAACAGGCCTAACTCCACACAGTGTTCATTATTTGAAATGACTAAATATAACTTTGACTACTATCTATAATAGTTATGGCCATGGCCGAGATGCTAAGAGACAGGAAATGCAAGTGGTTGATGTTCCCTTTCTTTTGCATTTGAGTCTCTTATTAAATAAGATACATGTTGGTTATGGAATTCACAATAGAGTTAATAATATTCCATAGTTCCTGTCTGCCCATGTAGTGTTGTTATTGCTCTGATTTCAAAAGATTGAGTGTACAATTGAAGATTTCAGGTGATTGCCTGCTACTGTTCCTTGGTGAAATGATTGGACATAAATCATTTTTTCCTGCTACAATAAAATAGGCTTTTTGTAAACTAAGTTTAAAAAACCTTGAGTTTCCAAAGAGTAACTCAACAAATTCTAAGGGCCCTCTATCTAAACCTTTTGAGTTTTATACTATGTCCAGCTTTTAACTCTTTCCCAATGCAGGGCCAGTACAATAACATTTGAATAGCCCTTGTTTTTCATTATTGTGTTTAAATGAAGTTAATATAGTTCTTAGCCAATTTTTAAATAGAAACAGAGGCCAATATATTGACATGTTGATTATGTTTTATTGATATTAAATTGTGCATTTATACATAAGGATGGTGGATTGTTTTAATACTTCAAATAAATGAGTTACAAAAGAAAGCAGTTCAAATAATAAAATAATCCTTTGAGGTTCTTAAAAATGGACAATTGTGGTCCTACAATACTTGTTTAAAAGGTTGTTCTGAGTTGTATTCCTTATTTTAGACAATATCACTCATTTTCTGACCAGCTTTTTTAATATTCATTTATGATGATGCTGTCCAATATTAACACATTTCAGAATAGACCAACATTCCGGAATACATTTTTTAGTATTATGTTTATTATTTTACTAGAGGTCTTCATTTATTTATGATAATTTGTTGTCCCTTCACTACTCCCAATTGTATGAAAGTATTCTTCCTTCGGGTTTGCATGATAGGCTTATCATTTTTCTTTTGACATAACCATTATCATTTAGATATTAGATAATATTCTATGTTGCTATTTTTCAAATGGATATTCATTTTATAATTGTTATCTAACCAATCCCTAGTATTCTGCCTCTTATACTTTGGTTTGGGTATGATTAGCAGTGGTCCAGGGCTTTGATTGGTAAAATTTACAAAGTCGTATGTGGAAAATCCACTTTGTAAGCTAAAAGTGTAAGTTGCTCTTAACAACTGACAGCTTTTGGGAAGGGGGAGACCATATCTGAGACTATGTGCATGGTAGTAAGGGAACATCTGCAAAAAACATCTAGCCAGAATTTTCAATCTTTTGGGGAGGGGGTGTTTAAGAATTGTTTTATTGTTTTTCAATGAATTGGTTGTGTTAAATATATATTGTATACATATGTAAATATATATGTATACATACATAAATATACATGTTTACATATGTAAATATGTATTAATATGTATTAATATACATATAAAATGCTATTGATCTTGTTTTGGGGTAAAACAGCACCAAATATTCCAACAATTTCTAATAGTGTTGAGATAGTGGGAGTGTAATCCCCATGGCATGTGGAAGGGCTAGTGATTATATACCTCTGCAGTTATGGAAAAAGCTTCTTTATATGCCCCAGGAATTGCCAAGAAAGGGAATATTCCATCTCCAATTTCCCCTGGAAATCTGGCCTTTAGGGAACAAATTGCCCCCAAACAGAAGGACATTATTTCTCCTCTTTTAGAGTAGATGAATTCTCTATCAAGGAAACTGCTTTCCCACATGAGATACGTTTTAAGCAATAAGCAAATTATTCAAATTACCAAAAGATGATTTAATTAGTTATGGGGAATATACTTTGCTCAAGCTATTGTATGTCATTGCAGGAAAGAAGATATATGGTAATTTGAATACTTCCTCTTGAAATTAGAAATATTCATTTTTTTTAAAAAAAGCAAATAATAGTACAGTAATGAAATCAGGTTATTCAGTGTCAGAGTGTATCTATAAATTCAGCAGTTTAAATGATGCTCATTGCATGTACAGTACAGATACATGCAATCCCCTCAGTAAGAGACAAATTAGGAATGCATTATTGCCCTTTCCCATCACCCTTGTAGTCAACAAATGACCCTCGGGAGGAAAAAGTCACAACTTCTAGATTCATGGTAGAATAAATACTCTTTGTGAAAAAATTGTCCAACTAAGTGAAAGTTCAACAGCCCTCAGGAAAGTGAAAACAAAACAAAGCTTGCTCTTAATATTCTTCACGTTTCCAAGAAGATTTCAATTTCTGTTCAGGCCTGTGCTTTGTATAATTAATTGTTGCTTTTTATTTTCCCAATTGTTAAATGTGGGAAAAATCATTCCATTGAATAGAGATTTGAAACATGAATTGCTTTCCATTTGTCATTGAGCAGGCAACCACTCAACATGTTATATATATGAATGAATGGGAATTACTTTGCAAACTGGATTTTGAGTTGATCTCTACAGTCATTTGATACACTAAACTTGGATTTTTCTTAAAAATTAAAGATGCATAGATAATAAAAACCCCAAAATTTCATTATTGATTCTAATCTATTTTCATAAAAGCTTTAATTCCTGAATCTGTTAGTTATTGATAGGTATTGTATTTGTAACTCTGTCAGTAATCTGAATATGTCTGTGAGCCATAACATACAACCATTGCAACTGTCTATTGTTTAATTATTCCTGGAGTCTGAAATAGTTTTAAGATTGTAAGTATAACAGCTGTAGTTAAATATAACAAGCCACAGTCTATCAGTATAAAAAAGAGCAAGCAATTTTCTCTGCCTCGTGTACTCTGTACCTTCCTTTGGCCTTCATATATATATAAAAGTGGAATTTTCCAGGAAAACATTGTGTACCAATTGTGATTTATGTTGACTATACTTTAAAACCTAATCTGAATTCAAACCCAGTATGATGCCAGTTGAGGTTCCTATTTTGATACAACATTTTGACTGTAATTATTTGTTTGCTATATGTGGTCAAAATCAGAAGTGGTTTGCCAAAAATCAGAAGCATAGGCAGATGTATGCTATTCACATTGGATTTGTTAGCTTTCTTCATTCCTTCCGGCAATTTCTGATGTAGTGCAAACAACATGCTATCCTGGAACTCATCTGCAGTGATGATTAGCTGTAGCTGCTATGGGCTGTAGTTACAGTGTACATGCTGATGCTAAAGAAAGAATATTGTGCATTTATTCGCATTGCTTTGTGAGTATTGCAGACACTTAGCAAAAAGCCATACTACATTATCAGTTGAATGCATTGTCAGTATGCATAGAACTGTGTAATGCTATAACTGGGATTCAATAAATGTTGCGATTACTTTATGGACTGAGAGCCTTAATCAGCTTTCAAAGGAATCTTACAAGTGAGTTTTTTTTCAGGCTGTCTAAATAAAAGCAGATTCCTCAGATTATTAATGATCTCCATAGACCATGGCTAGTACATGGCAAAGCATTTGGTGTTGTCTGAAATGAAGCAAGCTTGCCCTTTTCTACTGCAAATTTAAGAAATTTAAGGATGGATGGATGGATGGATGGATGGATGGATGGATGGATGGATGGATGGATGATAAAAGAACCACAGCTTTCATTTTGCATAGATGTTATTTGAGCCAGGAGATTAGAATGAAATAATACTGACTTATGGTTATTTGCATGCCATAATGTCTCATCCATTATAAACCTAGAAATGGTAATGAACTTACAATAAATTGCACTTGAGTAGAATTTCTCCTAACCCTCAAGGAAAATAAATTAAAGCAAACAGTATGTAGTTTGTTGAATTAAATCCATAAACAGGATGGAACGTTAATCCCCAGACAAAAAGATAAAGGAATTGAATCTACGGTACCACACCTTCTTGTACTAGTCTGAATGGTCATTATAATATTCTTGATTGAAGATGATGGGTTAAAATGTTTTCTTTTTCTTATAAGGTCAGGCTGCCATGTTTGTAGATTGTATTTATATGGCAGTTTTATATATTTCTGTGTTCTTTCTTTCCTTTCTCTCTTCATGTTTCCCTTCCTTGTATTTGATGCTACACTTCTGAAGTTCTTCCAACCTCAGGTATTGTATCTGCTGGCAGTGTAAAAAGGCATGGAGCGTGTGACTCAGGCTTGGCTTTTGTAATCGCCACGCATGCACTGTGTTAACCTTTTCAATGGTATGAGGGGTGAAATCAGAAAAGCATTGTCAAGATGACTTAGCCAGTAGCTCCTCTTTCTGGGACCACTGAAAGGGTTGACCATTACATTTCAGTTGCTGCTGAGCATGTATGCATGATAGGCTTTGGCTGATGCATTTTACTGATCTATTTGATTTTTGTTGCTGTTGCTGCTTAACATAGTAATGCAGAGAAGTCACATCTGGTTCAGCATTATGGGAAGAATGGAAGGAAAATGGATGGATGACTGGTAAATGAAAAGTCCTGAGTCCTCAGTGTGCTCTCAGTCTTCAGAGCACTATAAAGGAGGGATATATCACATAAGGCCTCTAGGTCACTTTGAGCCAATTTTCAGAAAACAAGGAGTTTTCTATGCGAGAGTTGATCCACAGCTTGGAGGAACACTTCAAAAAGTGGGTAGGGCCAAGGCAAAAATAACATTTAATTTAATTTAAACTGATGTTTAATTAAAATACAACATAGTTTAAATGATTTGTGACTGCTGCCCATTTGTTTAATAGCTTTCCCTTTTGTTACATAAAAATTGCTTTAACATGCCAAGGACTTTGTGGAGCTGCATGGAGTTCAGCAAATGTACTTGTACACCTGTATTCTAGACAAACTTGGGAACACTTTTCTAAAAAGAAAAGACAGCTTCCGGGCATATTTCAAAGTTTTCTTCATTGTGGCTCTTGCAAGCAGTATTGTGAAAGTTTCTCTTTCATAAACAGGGGTTCTTCTGATTATAAAATATAGTGAAAATGCTGTGATTTTCTAAGTTCTTGTTTCTGGAACAGCATCAATTTTCCAAGGTCATCAGGGAGAAATTGATGCTTTTCTTAATAGGGCACTCATATGCTTGATTTCCTTTCAGGGAATGAGAGATTTTTATCTGTCCTTATTTTAAACTAGGAACTCCATAGAGTTCACAGAGTAATATTAAAGTTAGGGTTAGGGTTAATAATTCCTTAAATTTAAAGTTAAGAGAGGAAAACATGTAAGAGTGTCTGCAAAATGCATTGCCCACACAAAATATTTACTGATATACTCTTCCTCAGCTTCCTTTTCATATGTTTTGAACTCTGCTTCTGTCATTCCAATTGGCTGAGGACTCTCTTCTGGGTCAGCTACAGTACAAAATATTGGAAAAAATGAAAATTGGTTTTGAAGTTCTTGTTTTTTCTTCCATTCAGTTGAAAGTCCAATTCTTGAGGGTTGCTTAGACAAGTCCCTGCAGTTTTCTTGGCAAGGTTTTTCAGAAGTGGGTTGCCTTTGCCTTTTTCCTAGGGCTGAGATACTCATTGATCTCTGGGTATCGAGGCCGATGCCTTAAATACTATACCAGATTGGTTTTCACGTTAAGTATAACTTGGGCAAAAACAAAAGTGTAAAAGTTAATTTCCTTTTGAACTTTAAAATATGCTTCATTCAAACAGAAAATAATTAACTATATTTTTCTATAGTTTCAGTTGTATTTGCAGAAATTGTCCAGCTTCTTATATAAGCTTTTTTGCCTATTTTCTTTTTGTTGGAACAATTGGTTTAATTGCTATTAGTTTGCCTATCTAACTTAGTTAAATTTAGAGTCTCCTCTCCTCTTCCTTGATTTTTTCCCCCTCTCTCAAACACAGGGGTAACAGACTGATCTGTCTTGGGCATAAAATATTGAAAAATGTATTGTTTCCATTGAAAGCTTATCACGAGTCCGCTTTTATTGGTTGGACTTAGCAAGATTGGCCCTAAATCTATTAAAAATAACCAGCTCACATTCATATTATTTTATTGTATGCTGATAAGCAGCACAACATTCAATCATTTTCTTTACTTTGGTATTTATTTAAACATTTTTTTAATTTTTCCTATTCATTTCATCCAATTTACTCTTGTGGACCTGATGAAATTCAGAACATCTATAAAATCCTGGGAAGGTAGTATAGCCACAAAATTGCTGACATGCCTCCTTACTCTTACATTATATATAAATTCAGGCAGCATTTTGCCATCTAAGATACCTTTTTCCAACCTGATATCCAAATGTGCTGGGCTTTAATCTCCCAAATTCTATGCCAGCACGGCCAACTTGGATCTGGAAGGAAATTCTATTTCTGTAGTCTAATACTTCATACAAAACAACATGTTATGGAAATCTATCCTTAGTTCAGGTTTGCAACTGGAAAAGAGTTAGTTTGCATCTGCTGAGTCAGTCATAGAGTTTTGGAATTTATTTCAAAATTTATTTATTTCATGGAATTTATTATTTCACTTTTGAGTCTATGTTATCCGGCAGGTGTTTTTCTTCGGAGAAGGTTATGTTTAATAGCAGTGCTTCTAATTCATATCATTTATGCTGGATAACTATCTTATGCTAAACACTATCTCTTGAATTCAACCCTTCGCTGTTTCTGACTAATTTACTGTTTCCCTTAGTTAGGTTTGCTTTATCCCAGCCAGAGTTTTATTTATGCAACCAAGTTACTTTGGCTCTTTTTGGGTAGCTTGTTTTGTCCCCAAGGAGAATTCCCAGGAGTCAAGCTCCTGTCAGTATTTTTCTCATGCATATCCCAAACCCTTTTTCCAAGCTTGCTACTAACTGTCTTAAACTCTCTTAAAGTATGCTTTAAGGGACATTTCCCAAGACTCAGTAAAACTCAAGGTCAACTTGTAGCTATGAACCAAAAACTATACTTTGATATTTGCCTGGAACCAAAGTTAAGAACAAACAAATCCACTTAATTACTTGCATTGAAAATAACTATGCAAATTTACAACCAGATTTACACCCATGAATAATAACTTTATGCATTGTAACTATTGAATTCAATGGACTGTAATCTCAGTGCCCTGAAGCTTGCTCAGCATCTCCTTCATATTTCTTCAGATCACACGAAATCCCACTTCTGGCAACTTGAGCTCCCTTGGATTGCATTGCTAATTCCTCCAAATCCAGTCAGCTCCATGGCATTACCAGTCCCAGTCTGCCTCGTTCCTAATTGGGTTATCCTTGCTTTCTTAGTTTCAGTACTCTCTCTAGCTGACCTATTGGATAATTCCCTTTACAGGCTAAGCTTGTCTACCAATTCACATCAGAAGAACACATAGCAGTGAAATGCAGCTTAGTGCATTGTACCTTTAGCTTTTCCTCACAAGTAATCTCACTGTCATTTTTTTTTCTAATTAGAAAACTTATTAACTACACTGCTGTTTTTCTTACCTCCAGGTCTTCACAACTCTGCACTTTTCTCATCTCTTCTTATTCTAAGTTTTGGGTTTTCTTCTCACTTCTTTGAGTAGCCTCCTTCAAAAAATGCTCCCTGATGTCCCTCTCTTTTATCTCATCATCCTCTCCCCTTTTCTTCCTATTTACCGTCACACTCCTCTTGGTCCTAATTTCAAACTCTGGGCACCCAGATTTCTAGTATTTAAGTTATTTTTTTGCTTTCTGTCGTGAGCACCATTTTACACCAGCTTTATTCATTTCTCCAGTTTCTTTGCAACCCCTTGGGTAACATTAAAAATGTTGAACTTTAAAAAAAATCATGTTTACTTATCCTTTATTTCCCGACTCTTCAGTTTCTTCATGATTTTTATTGCTTTTATGAAATACTTTATTCCCTTCTCCCGCCTCATGGTAGAAAGAGAGCCATTATTTCTTTATTCTTTTTGTCAGAAGAAAAGGAGTAAGCTGAATTATGTATTTTTTTAAAAGAATACTTTGCAAGCAAATTAGTTTAAATGTGCTTATTTTTGCATTCAAGGGAGACCTTACACGCTGCAGAAAATAACACTTTGATTTAGATTGTATAAAAGAGTAGAGAATAGGAGGGTCAGATCTAATAATGTTAAGTAAAAACTGCAAAGTATTAAGAATTCCAGGTTTGACAGTTCTGGGACATAGAATTGATAGAACAAGATAAATGTTCTTTTAAAATGCTGTTTTTAAAAATGCTGTAAAATATATCCTTCAGGCCAACATATTTTACATAGAATAAGGCTGTATATTTAGATGTATTAAAATTACAGTGATATATGAACCACTTTGTAAATATTGGTGTGATCTAAAGCAGTGCTTTTCAGTTCAATCTCTTCTAGATATGCTGCATTACAACTCAGAATTGCCAATCATTTCATATCTAGGATACCAGACTGGAAAGACTAGTCAAAATAAACACGTTTGCCTATTTTCAGCATTTGTGGCTTGGAGAGAAAAATGTATATCTGAAACACTATATTCAGATTTTTTTTCTTTTGTTTTGTTTTTATGGGTATATATATGGCAGCTCCCAGTTTAGGCCTCAATAAGCTTTTCTCCCCTGACAAGAATTGATTTCCTTTTTGGGTGATCTACTGTATTGAAACAAACAGTAGGTATGGTCACAGCTAAAAAGTGATCGCTTGAGTTTTGAAATGGGGCTGAGGACTGCATGAAGCCCAGTACCCTAGGCTGTATGCTTTTTTTTCTACAGGGTTAGTGCATGAGCAGACAACATATACTTTTGTCACTAATAAAGAATGCTTATTCCATAATGTGCAATGTGTGAAACTGAGAATTAAAGCTTATAGCAACAAGTACAGGTTTATTGTTTTGCACATATACCGTTCTTAGAAAGGAAGAAATTGCCTGTTAGATATATAGATCTCAATTGTTAATGCTCTGATGCACAGTAGAGTCACTCCATAATACTTGTCATTCCTGCCTCTTTCACCCAAAAAAGAAAAGGAAGGTGGAAATGTTTGTGAGATAGTGCTGCAAGGTGTTATTCTATACTGAGGAAAAGTCAACTTCTAGCAATCTTTAAAGAATACATTCTTCTCCAAAATGTAGTATCCGCTGAATCTGTGAAGTAGAATTGCAAAGTACATACATTATATTGCTGCATAAATTCCAGTCTGCATTATATCAGCC